GGAATTTTGGAAGATGCTCGGACTGACCAATATTACATCTTGTGGAGTGAACATCATTTGCGGTGCACGGTTGAGCTAATGATTGAATTGTCATCAGATAAAACAGTTTCAGATCGAATCAGGAATCTAGTCCACTCAGGTTAAAAACACAATATATCTCTGCCCTTTTTAGTTCGAGAGGCGTTGCATTTGGAGCCTGAAGGGGATTGAAGGCCCTCTCCACAATCGTACAGAAAAGTCACGAAAGCAAACTTCGACCTCATGGTTTGATCACCTTTCAATTTCAATCGATGATACGAACTCAAAAAGCGATACAGCTATCTTTGAAGAAATGAGAATACGAGAAAGCTCGACGACACTTCTCGATCGCAACCTCGGCTATCAACCATTTGGCATTCGCTACAAGAGCTCCTGATGGAATAGCTCTGTAGACAGAGGGAGACACGCGCTGAAACAGTAGTAGCAGATTTCAGGGTCATCTGAGTCTGAAGAGAGAGCTATTTCCTCGTCTATTGACTCGATGGCGACGCGAACGAGACGCGTCGCAAGAATTGAATAATTGATGATGTTTGTCAAACGCGTGATCGATCGCTCTTGCTTTTTTGCCAACTCGCGCTCGATCCATCATCTCTGATCCTCCGAGACCTTGAAACCCTCTTACTAGACACGATCCGGCCATAACCATCCTATCTCAATTCATCTCCCAGCGTCCGGGATCCACGCGCCCCTGATTGTCAGGCTGGCCCACATTGGAACAACGGACACCATCTCATCAGTCGGCGCCACGGAAAGCATCTCAATCTCGTCCCCTTGACGCCGAGGAGCAGTTTCGTCACGTTATAGCACGATCGTTCTGAGCACCATGGCGCCCGAGACGCATCCTCCTAAACTTCGACCAACGTCCGCTGGCTTGAAACAGGTTGATCCGTATTGGTACCCATACACGACGTGGGCGAAGCTACGGTGGTACAATCGCGAACTCTTGGAAGTGGTCTCGACCGAGTTCAGAGACAGGTCGATGGAATATTACGTAGGTCTCGCCCTGTTTCTCGTTCTGTGCACAATCTAAAGCCGCTCAGAAATACGCTTTGGAGTCCGGGGTAACGACCGTCAATGGGAAGGTTGCGGGCCCTAAAACGATCATCAAGAACGGAGACCTTATAGAGTATGGCCACCTCATTCAATTTCAGACGACTAGTGCTGACTGGTCTCATCAGAAACATTGTCCATCGGCACGAGCCTCCAGTGACAGCTACGCCAGTCAGAGTTTTACACCACGATGTCGAGCGCGAGTTTATTGTCGTTGACAAGCCTGGGAGCATCGTCCGTCTCTCTTACCTCCGAGGTCTTCCTTTTGCCGTCTGAAAGCCGCCAGCACAGCCTGTTCATGGGACTGGGAGATATTTCAAGAACACCCTGATCGAGATCCTCAAGGACGAGTTTGGATTCAGGACATTTCGTACGAGCTTCCGTGTGCTTGCCCGAGGCCCAGTCTAATCTCCATCCATCTGCCCCCAGCTGTAAATAGACTGGATCGACTCACCTCCGGCTTAATGATCCTCCCCCTCTCGTCTGAATGCGCCAAGACGATTGCTAGAGAGTTTGAAGTCAATACAGTGCAGAAAGAGTACATCACTCGATGCAAGGCGAGTTTCCGGCGGGCGTGACGGTGTGCGAGGAGCCGCTGTTGACTGTCGACCGTCAGATGGGGTTGAATATCGTCCATCCCGAGGGAAAGGTAGAATGATAGTCCCTCCATTCAGTCATCGTGTTCTGATCATATCAGCCGGCGAAGACAGTTTTCGAGCGCATTCGATACGATGAAAAGACTGATAGCACGGTGGTCTTGTGTAAGAGCCTTCTTCATTTTATCTGCCCAGCTGATTCGTATACAGGCAAACCATATACGGGACGATGTCTGTGATCATCTCCTTGGCGAAGATATTTCGACTGACATCCTGCACTACCAGCACACCAAATCCGGGTACATCTTCAATTCCTCGGGCATCCCGTCGCCAACGACCCGGTCTACTCTGAAACCAAGATCTGGGTGCGTTCGTACTAGCAGCATGTCGGGCCGATGACACTACTCGAATGATGCAGGGATGGCCTTGGTGTAGGCGGCATCGACACAACACCGAGCGACGAACGAGCAGCGCCTCAGCCGCCGCCACATCTGGAGTCAGAAGGACTGGGGAATCCAGAGTCTCTGGCGCAGACCGGCCCGGGGGAGCCGGCCGAAAGTTCCAAGCCAAAACTGCTTCCGCGTGAGACTGGCGAGGATATCGGAATGGGCTCACCTGTACCGCTATCCCAAGAAGCCGTCAATGTCATCACGCAACTGCGCAATATGAAGGTGAGGACTTGGTTCGTCCGGTGCCGGGGAGATGACATCAAGCGATATTCCAGGACGAAGAAGAGGATTGGAGCCGATGGAGAGACGTTATCTTCCGTGTCAAGGGCGCGTTATTGCCGAAGGACCTGGTGATTCGAGGGCCAGCTAGTCGGCGGAACCGAGACCAAGACACACCCACGTCGAAATCAAAGAATGCGTCGGAAGATTCCGGGGCGAGAACTCTCGACGCGTTGGCTTCCGGCGAAGATGCGACTCTCAGGCCCACGATTGGGTCCCAGCCGGACAGCGATCCGGGACGCTCTGCATCTGGGCCAGACGCGCTGGGCGGGGCTGAGCCCATCTCTGGGCTGGGCCTGACCGCTGACGAGGCAGTCGAGCGTGCTTCCCAGATAGAAGGGGCGATGGATGATGTCACGGCTGTGCTCGCAGAAAGTGCGTACTGCCCCGAGTGCTATCTGCCGCTGCATCCGGATCCCAAGCCTGAGAAGTTATACATCTTCCTGCATGCGCTGCGGTACAGAACGAGCCTGGGTGAATTCGCCACGGAAATGCCGAATTGGGCGGCAGAGGATTGGGAATGGGATAGGACATAGACCGGGTGTTTTGCTACCTTGTTGATTTGTTCGAGGAAAAGATGGGTGGACGGCCGAGGACGAAGTGTCTGCTGACATCCGTCGCGCGCGGAAAACCTGAGATCAGCCACGGTTAGTGCGGTCGCCGGTGGGCTAGTCTTGCGTGACTGCTCGCGCTTTCTAACGGCAAATCAAGATCCCTGGGATGTCAGTCAGCCTTGCTATGCCCCCGGTGCACAAATACTTTTGGACATCCCGTGGTGGGAGCTTGGCTCTGTGTGAAACGTCGTTCATTATTTGCCGCAACGTAACGCGGTTGAGCCAGCTGCAGCAGCCCAGTTTTTTGTTCGGACGAGAGAAGAACGACCGTTTCATACATACAGGCACCATGGGCTTCAAGATTAACGCCACCGGCGCTGGGCGAGATCTGAGCCCGTCACTCCGAGCAAATGAACGTTCGGGCAATAACAGGGCTCGGCCGAGCGTCAGATCTCAATATGTGTAATTATTCGCCGGTGTGCTTCGGATACTTGCTCTGGCCTATCCCTTTAAGGCCTGCATTTTCCGCGGATATAAATGAACCACTCAGCCTTACTTTCTTTCCCCTCTACTAACAATGGCCAGCCTCGCCTTTCTGCTCTCAGGCGCCTGCGTCCTCTACCTCTGCTGCTCCCTCGTCCTCCGTCGGTGGAGACGAATCTCCCTCGCCGAGGTACCTGGGCCCGAGCCGGTGTCTTGGCTTTTGGGTTCGGAGATTCACCTTCCAGAGGTTTTGTGGCTGAGACTGCCGACCAGGGAATATGCCGCAGCTGTTTGGTGGTCAAGTGGGAGATGTACGTCCCAGTCGCGCGCTTTGTCCTGCGGGTCACCTGACCACCCCTGATTCGTGCAGGCAGAGTTCAAGTGGCAAGAAATTTATGGAGGCGTCGTCCGCATCAGAGCCCCTTTCGGAGTGCGCCCAGCGTTCGAGTTTAAAAAATATATCTGATGGTTCTTTCCAGGAGGACACATTGCTCGTGACAGACCCCAAAGCATTACAGTACATCTACCAGACGTCGGGCTACCGATTCCACAAACAACCCGAACGGATCGAGTTGACGAGATTGATCAGGTGAGTCATCGCTTTGTTCCAACTTGCCAAAAGTACTGAGAGAAAAATTCCAGTGGCCGGGGCCTTCTCTGGGCAGATGGTTGGTGCCGTCTGTCCCCGCTGCTAGAATTAAGGTGACGGGAATGACCAGGGAATGACCACAAGAGACACCGGAAGGTGATGCTTCCAGGTTTCAAGTCATCCGAAGCGAAGGCGCTCGTCCCGCTTTTTTTCTCGTGTGCAGCTCAGGTACGCCCTCGGTCGATCGTTCCTTTTGCCTTTAGCCAAACGCCCTTCCCTTCTTTCACAAGATCGGCACGAAGTGGAAGGATCTGATCGCTCAAACACCGGAGCAAGCGACGGTTCTGAACGTGACCGGGTGAGTATAAGTGCCGTCCCGGACATGTTTCGAGACTGAGCTTCGTCCAGATGGGCTTCACGAGCCACGCTAGATGCTATCGGCGCAGGTAATATACCTCCGTGGTCGGCCAGAGTCGACGCATCAGCATCTCACGCGTCTCCGTCGCAGCTGCATTTGACTATTCCTTTGGGGCGATCGAGAATGTGGACAACCCAGTGGGCTCAGCCTACAACAGCCTCTTGTGCGAGCGTGTTTTCACCAGCGTCATTCGAGGGAACTGAACGCAGTTTACAGTACCGACACATTCGCTTCTCTCTCTGGCGTGAGCCTGCTTGCTCTTGGGGTGCTTCAGTATGTTCCACGTCGGATGCGGGAATTTCTGGTCGATCACATTCCCGCCCGTGGCCTGAAACACATCCGATACGCAGCCAGAGTGACGAAACGCGTCGCGCGAGAGCTGGTCGCCTCCAAGTCGGCCGCACTCCTGCAAGGGAAGGGCAACCGGGACATCATGAGCTTACTGGGTCAGTGCTTTCCCCCCAAACAGTGACCCTGACATCGCAACTCAACGGCGCGCGCAGTGAAAGCTAATGCGTCCGAGAACGAGCAGACCAAGCTCAACGAGGACGAGTTATTATCCCAGATGCAGACCATCATTATGGCGGGCCACGAGACGACGGCGAGCACGTTCAGCTGGGCTGTGCTCGAGTTGGCGCGTCGTCCCGACATCCAAGCACGACTCAGAGCCGAGATACGGAGCATGGAACGTGTGGTTCGGACACACGAGGCTCGGGAGTTCAACAGTTCTGACATCGAGAAGATGCCCTACCTGGAGGCGTTCGTCAAAGTTCGTGGTCTGGACTGGTTCTCATTCGCACGCGATTGACCGTCGGGCATCTTCTAGGAAGTGCTACGGTTCCACCCCGTCGCATTCAGCAATTACCGACAGAGCGCCAACGACGATGTGCTACCGCTCTCGAAGCCCATGACGCTGACCTCCGGCGAAGTCATCTCAGAGTTGCCGATTCCTAGAGGCATGAAGGTCATGATATCGATCGCAGCTTACAACCGCAACAAGGAAATCTTTGGTCACGACGCGCATCTCTTCAATCCCGAGCGCTGGCTCAATGGCTCAATGCGGAAACCGGACACACCAGTCGGGGTTTACGCCAATTTGTGCGTTTTCCGAACCAGCAAGCGTCCTCCCCAATAAGCTTATCCGTCCATTAGATTGACATTCGCGGGTGGGCTGCGCACTTGCATCGGGTGGAGATTCGCGTACTGCATTTCATTTTGCCTCGACGCTCTCATCCAAACTCACGCTCCCATCCGCAGCGTACTCGAGCTTCACGCTTTCCTGATCGAACTCGTCGGCACATTTGACTTTTCGCTGACACCTGAAGCAATGCGAATACGTAGGGAGGCATGCGTGGTCATGGCCCCGACAGTCGAGGGTCAGCGAGACAAGGGGACTTGCCTGCCCCTCCGAGTCTCGATAGCTTCAAGAGAGGATTCCTGAAGCCTATAGTCGAATTGATTTCAACTCGGGTCTGACTTAGCTTATACTGTATTGCAATGTGAGACTAGCTCGCAAATGACAACTATACAACACGTCTGCAAAACAAAGATCACTAGAAGCAAAAGGGTATGAGCATGTGTCAAAAGCGACTAGAAATAACTCGCCTTGATAAATTTGGACATGAATTTTCTTGTGGATTAGACGTTAAAATTCGGAATCGTCATAATTGCAAGAGATTGCTCACTTGTGAAACTCCGTCCTCAGCAAATCGTTGACGAAATGGGCGGGTTTGTCCCTGCTGGACATTGCCTGGTTCTTGAAAATCAAGTCTGGGTCCCAGTCAGCTCAAAAAACCATGAAGAGTCGTGTTATTGCTGACCGTCATCCCACCGCTTCTTAACAGCAAAAGTGCCTGGGGCCGTCGTATTGATACCGGTAGGCACATCCTGGCCGAGGGCAGCAGCGAGATTCAGCAGCGGATTTGAAGTTGCGATTTCGGCGTCCCTTGAGGCAGCTGCAGACGCGGACTGCTCTTCTGCTAACCGCTCCTTCTCCTCAGCTCGTTCCCGCTTGATTTTCTCCAGTTCACGAAGAAGTTCGGCAGTCTCGTCCTCGTCGTCGTCTTCTTCCGATTCAGAATCAGATTCGCTGCTACAGGAGGTGAAGTCAGGCGGGCTGTTTGGAACAGTCGCAATCCAGCACGACCACACACCTCTCTCCTTCCTTGTTCCCATCCTCTGCGGCCTTGCCGGGCCCCGCTTCTTCTTCGTCATCATCATCCTTATCCAATTCCAGCGACTCCTGAAGCAATTTCCGTCGTTTGTTCGCCTCGTCGTCCGCTGGTGTCGGAGCGGCACCCTCCAAAGCCAAAGGTGGCAGACCCTCCGCTTTGCGCTTCTTGTTCTTCGCCTCCAGCTCGGCGACAGCCAGCTCAGCTCTGAGATCCCGCTGCTTCACTTCCGCGGCCGAGGTCTGTCCGACTTGTCTGCAGAGGGCCAGGTCGGTTCATTGCACGGCTACGCGGAGGAACCACTTTTATTCATACCGGAATTTGAGCTTCGTGTGAGCTGCCATGTCTCGTGCAGAGAACTGGCGCGATCCCGCCTTGGAGTCCCTGGCCTGCGCCGGATCCCATGTTGGTCTGTGTGCTGTAGACATAGCGTGTAAGAACAAGTACTGGATCGGCACGTGACATCTAACGCCTCGACCGGAATTCGCGTCTCAATTTCACCCTAGTTCAGCTGGGAGTCGGCGAGGAGCCTGCGGGGAAGGAAGCACCTCTTGCAAAAAGCAAAATGTATATATATACACACACACTGAAAGCGCGTAAAGAGGCACGAAGAAAGCAATGTCTAATCTGAGGTAGCCTCCACCTTCGGTACCTCCTCGTCGTGTATCGTAGGTGCCTCAGTGACATCTACTTCCTCTTCCGATTTTTCCTCCAGTTTCTGAGCCTCCACTGAGGATGGCTCAACTGCAGCGCCCTGTGCACTTCCCTCGTGGACATTTTCTACTTCGCCAGCATCTGCTTCCACTGCAGGTGCCTCAAGTTCTGGCTCACCTGCCTCGTCTGGCGGGGTCGCGGGTTCAATAGCGATAGCAGGAACAGGCACAAGCTCTGCCTTCTCCTCTCCAGCCTCATCCGACTTTTCGACCTCGTCCGATTGCTCGCCTGCATCCGACTTTTCTCCAGATTGGCTCTCCTCAGCTTGTGCGACAGGCGCCGTGACGGACGCATCGTAAGCTTCGCGCACGGGACTGGCTGAAGTGTCGATTATGATTGAGCCGTCCAGTGGGATAGCGGCAGTCGAGGACGACGGTGAGACGATGGGGATGTTAGATTCCTCCGGCTCAGGCGCAAGGGCGCTACCGCCAGTAGGACTGGGTTCGCCGTCGAGATCCGAATCTTTCTGCAGCACCGACAATTCAGAAATCGACTCTGGTTCAGCAGACAGATCTGCCTCGGGAGCCTCGTTGCTGCTTTCGTGAGGTGCAGAGACCGATTCCGACATAGCGGGCGATGCCGAAACAGAGGGAAGATCCGCCAGAGCAGCGTCCGCCAACGCTGCTTCGAGACCAACTGGACCGTCTTCAGCAGCAACAGCAGGACTCGGAGGGAATCGGTCGCCTTCAAGCATCATCGTATCTGTTCTGTTGCGGCCATAACGCCGCGGACTCATGGCTTCATCAAGACTGCTGCCAGGGCTGACGATGTTGTCCTTGTCGACTGGACTCAAGGAGTCCTCCGGCGAGGGAGCAGTTTCGACGTGCAAGGCTGCAGCCAGTAGGGTGGGAGGCTGCGCTTCAATAGCGGGAATCACGCTGCTTCGACGATCGGAATCTATTGGGGCAGCCGCGATCCGAGGCGGGATTACGAGGAAGTCTGCAGGGACTAGCTCGAATTTTTCAGTCAGCGCAAGGAAGCGAGCATAAAGGGAGCTCTCTGCTTCGGCTTGCTCGAACTCCTCCCGATGGTGAAAATATGCATGGGCAAAGATTCGACCCAATCGACGGGCAAGAGAGGAGAAATGTCGGTGTGATGCAGGAGGGATCTGCATTCTAGGGTAGGTGTTTGAAAATCAGGTCGGCACACGGAACATTAGATGAATCACCTGGAGGGAAAAGCCCGAGGTGAGTTGAGGAGCGCTGTGGCGCTGTCCAATGTGTGAAGGATGTAGTCAATCGCGCAACATTGCTAAACGGAAATCCAGTCAGTTCTTTGCCCATGTAAGTAGTATTCTATGTTATAGGAAGAAGAATATGTTCTCCAGAGGATGAGGAAGTAGGACGCTCACCTCCATCGCTCCTTCATTTCCATGAGCTACACAGAGATACAGCCATTCTCCTGCTTTCATTTCCGGGCAGGTGCTTCTGTTGCAGACCTGCTGTAGAGAAGTGATGAGGGGATGCGACAGGTCTTGGGCAAGACGCCTGCAGACAGGTCAGTTCACGACCACTACTTGCTATGTACAAGTCCACGTACCTCAGCTGCTCGTACTTCCAACAGGCCTCGTCAACTACTACATCCGGCTTCTTCTCCTTGCCCTCTTCTGTGGGTTCAAGCAGGGAACCGCTCTCCTTCTGCTTTCCGCGGCCTGGGACAGACACGATCGCGTCCACGTCGTGGACATCCAGTCGAATGAGGAGCGAGATGTACTCTTGCAGCTGGAAAGCACTGTCGAGCGAGGACAGAGAAGGGAGAGTTTTGACCGGGTAAAAGGTCGATATGCGGGACCCACGCAGAGGTCGCTGAATCTGCACTTGAGCCATAGCGTTCGTCGAGTAGGGCAACTCACGCGACAGTCACGTTCGCCTGATGGACTTCTTCCATTATTTGGGCGCTGTTTGGTCTGCGATAATCATGCTCTTCTCCAAATTCCCCAGCGTACAAATCATCCGGGCCGGCGAACATTGCCTACGCCCACTCTTTCCCTTTCCTTCACTTCTTAGCCTCTAACTTCATCATGTCGGTTAAACCTTTCCTGGCACCCGTTCACAGCACTCTCGCGACGTACCGAGAGGATATCTTCAAGGGCAAGGTGCTTTTCTGCACTGGTGGGGGCTCGGGCATATGTCGTGGAATGACCGAGGCCATGGTTTGTGATCATCTGCCCCGTCGGATAGAGAGTTCAGACCAATGCCTCGTATAGATGAGACACGGTGCCAATGCCGCCATCGTCGGCCGCAAGTAAGTTCTTTTCTCATTACCCCAGATGACATATACCTGATCTTGTCTCCTAGGCTCGACCGACTCACTCAGGCTGCTCAAGAGCTTTCTGCGTCGACGGGGTCGAAGTGCATCCCGTGTCAGGGTGACGTGCGCAACCCCGCCACTCTCAAGGAAGCAGTTGCCAAGACGATCGAGACGTTTGGGCGCATTGACTTCGTCATCTGTGGTACGCCCAGCAAGCATCCGTCGCACTCGCTCCTCTTTGATACGAAACTACGTCAGGTGCTGCTGGCAACTTTCTTGCCCCGATCTCTGGGCTGTCCGAGAACGCCTTCCGCACAGTCATCGAAATCGACACGATAGGCACCTACAACACCATCAAGGCCACCATCTCTCAGTTGCGACAAACGAAGGGCGCGTACATTCATGTCAGCGCTATGCTCCACTACAAGGGTCCGTCAGACCTAGTTCCCATCACTGTCCGCTCAGCATCTATCTAGGCACGCCGTATCAAGCACATGTCTCCGCTGCCAAGGCTGGCGTAGATGCACTTTCCGCTGTGGTCGCTGTAGAAGAAGGACCGCACGGCGTTCGCTCCAACGTGATTGCTCCTGGACCTATTGCCGGAACCGAAGGAATGGATCGACTCGAGGTGCGTGTCATCGGCTAGCACATACAGCGAACAACGCTGATACACAGTGTCTAGGGCAAAGGCTCGCAGTCTCGAGAACTGATGTACCCGCTCGGTCGCATGGGTGCCATCTCGGATATCGAGAACGCCACCGTTTATCTTTTCAGCGAGGCAGCATCCTATGTTACTGGGCAAATTCTCTGCGTCGACGGCGGAAACGAGCATGTTCGCACGCAGGTGGTGCCGTACCCGCTGAGCGTTCTGGAGCCAGAGAAGGTGAAAAGCATGATCAAGGGGAAGCTCTAACTCCGTTAACTGCGCTATCCATGACTTCCCGCATGTAATAATCTATGGGGATGCATATTCTGCGTACTTGAATCACAGTTCAATGATCCCCATAAACATTCGGTTTGCGCCCACGTGACCGTAAAGCTCGACAAACATGGAAGAACGGAACCCGTCCTTATAATAAAACAAGAGTAAAGTCGTAGATATGTACATGAAACCGGCAAAGATAAACCAGGCTTGTCGTGATGTTTCGTAATATATCAGCGTCGCGGACAAGGGTGAGATCGATGGCCACAGCACAAGGATCGTGGGACCCTTGGCCATATCTCATCTTTATGGTGGGTCCATTGGCGGATAGTTCTGAGCACGTTGCAGTCGTATCGACTCTCTCTCCGCCTTCCTGGCAGCTCTATCCGCACGGAGGATAGCGCGGTTCTTCTTCTGTTCTAGACGAACCAGCTTCATCCGCTCGTACGTGTCACATAGTTCGAGCAGGCGGAGTTTTTCGTTAGAGGCCTGCCGGAGCAGTCAGACAACCGTTGCTTCTCAGGGAAAAAGAGAAGGGCCGAATGCCAACCCACATAAAACCTCGAGACAAGGCAGTCGAACTTGTCTATGAACGCACAGAACTTCAATATCTCGGCGTCGTAGTTCTCTACGCGCGGAGGTTTGCGCAGCATATGGTCTGCGAAGCGGATGTACTTCTGGAGATTCCTGTTGGCTGCGTGAGCAAGAGCGATGTGAAGTGCTCGGACGCACGCACTTGACAAGCGAATCTTCCAGCGCCCTTCTCTTCTGGTACCAGGACGACGTCTCTGGTGGTTTATACTCGATCGGCACCACGACACTCGCGGGTATGGGGGCCAAGCATTGGATAGCAGCAGCGCAAAGTTTTACGTTCTCGGAGAACTTCGGGTGGTCGGACATGGTAGCCACCGTTTCGAAGAGCTGGGAGAGGAAATCAAATGAGGATGAGTCTATGAATACGATGAAGGATGCGCCGCTCACTCCAGTCAGACCCTCTGACTTGGCCGTGGCATCAACAACCAAGCGCGTGACTTCCTCGACATCGACCCGAACGAACCTGGCAGTCTTGAATGAGTCGACGGCCTGCGCGATCTCCTGCGGGTCTGCTGTGGTTCTATACTCTGACTCCGATTGTATGAAACTGAGCTTGAAGGGATTGAGTCCGCCAAGCGAGCTCAGAGCGTCCTCGGAGGGTGTAGGGAATATGCTTGAGAGCCGATCCATTAGATTACAGTAGCCGCATTCAAAAACGTGAGATGAAGGAGGACGAGCGTTAGAGGAGCAGTAGTGCGCAGGACATGCGGTTGATGTCAGAGAGGATTTACGAGTGCCAACCACGGCACTTGCTTGACTAAAATAGAAGGTGTGATGGCCGCACGGTCCCATCGGTGATGGACCAACCCCGACACACTTGGTTTCCCATTCTCTATCAGGTTGGATTGAAATACAGAAAAGATACATTGAGAGAGCGTAATGGAGAGCATTCGATAGCATTATGAAAGCGTGAATTCGTCAGAGCAAGGGTCGTGAGAGCGATTTTATCTGGGAGAAATCGATATCAAAGTGTGCGGTCGTATTGCATCAGCCACTGGTCTCTGGAGAGTCTGGCTGCTTGTTTTCGTTCGTCGACATACTCCTGAATGCGGCGGTGTATTCGTGTGTCGGATTTTTGATATTCGCCGACCGATAGCGAATCAAATGTTGCCTGTCGCGACGTCAGGCACAACTCCGACGCGAAAATAGACGGCATGCACGAACATCGATCTTGAGCATCAAGCTGGCAAGCTTGGAGAGGTACCGTTCTAATGTCGCCCGGACTTGTTTGAGTTCGGTCACTCTCAAGTGATGCTCCACGCAGAACTGGCGCAGGCGACTGAGAGTGCTGCGGGCCACAGTTGATGAGCTCACGAGTCGGCGCAAGGCGAGGAAGGACCCTTACGTGCTCAGAACCCTCAATCGATCGAAGAAGCGTGTGCGAGAAGAGTCGCTTCGGGCCTCCCATCTGTCGGCAGAGATGTGCAGGCGCCGCTTCAGAGCACGGCGAGAGTGGCGAAGGCTTCTCTCCAGCTCGTGCAGTAGTCCGAGGTCCGTCGAGTCAGGGAGATGCGTCATGCTCAGCTTCTGCAATACCGTCAGACGGCAAAGGAGCCATCGGAGCAAACCCCCACACACCAGACGCAAAGAAACAGCCTCGTCAAAGGTCTCCTCGATTCTGCTGAGGTTTTCCTGGAGGACGCTCTCTTCCTGAGCCACTGTCGGACACATAGGTACTTGCTCGAGGTAGAGCTGGCCAGAACACGAGCTGGAGCTGGAGCTGGAGCTGGAACTCGATTCATATACCGTCGCGGGACGTAAAGAGGCGGCAAGGTCGAAGTAGGCCTCGCCTTGAGGTAGTCGGTCCACAATTTCCTCGGGAATAAGCTCCATCGTCGGAAGCCGGGGGCACGGCGGCGGCGTCATGCTGCGTCCATCGAAAGCTTCATCTCCGCCGCGGTAGAGCTCGTGGCCAGGGCCGGAACCATGATCGTCTTCGGTTACTTCCGTAATGTGGCCATACGAGACGTAGTAGGTTCCGCCGGCCGCGTCGAACATCCACCCACCTACGCGTTCATAGTCCTGGATAGCGCGACGTGGCGGACTCGGCGCTCGGTCGCGACAGCGAGAAGGACCCGACTCGGGTGGGTGGTCGCTCGTGTAGATGCCGAGGAAATTGTCGTCCGTCACGGTAGGCTGGCTATATGCTGTTCCTTGCCACCCGTTCTTTCTTGTATGCGGGAGGAAGGCAGCAGACGCTGCAACGGGTCGAGGCTGGTGCACAGGACCCCTGTGGCTGGTGGCAAAGGCGGTGGAGCGCACAGCCATCTGGGGGTTGGGGCGTGGCATGGGATTGTGGGGCGAAGTTTGGCTGTGGGTGTCGGAGGAGAATATAAGCGATTCTGCGGCTCGTGTCATCGACGTGAACATCGAAAACAAGAGAACAAACGCTTGGGCCGGGTTGGGCGCTGCCGAGAAAGGACAAAGACCGACCTAGTAACCAACAGGCATAGGGCGTCTATCTGAAAGATGGGAGGTCTTGTTCCAGGCTAGTCACTGCTGTTCCTGGGGTGGCAATCATCACGAAGGTGGAAGAGAACAAGCAGCACCCAATCAGGAAACAATTGGCCGTCACCTACGCCACGCGTTGTGGGTCCATCTAAAATTGGCAACAACGCAGACAGCACAATAAATAACGACTGTATGTACATGGAGCTAAATGACCCTATTAAATTGCCTGAAGATACATGAGTAGGCTAGGCACTATTGTGTATGATACATATGATTGAGTGCGGGCACATAGCGGATTAAAACAAAACCACAAAGTTACTGGGGAAGACATGTCGGCCCTCCTCCCTGCGAGCTTCGTCCAGCAACTCTCCACTCCACCATCCGTCGTCCGGAGTCGCAGTCACGGCAATCACATCTCCTGCCTGGAAGTCGAATTCTTCTGCGATAGTAGCAGTGTAGTCATAAAGCGCCTTCACTGTCCATAACGTCAGGACGAGCACATACACACCATGGGGCAGAGCGTACCATAAAACAATATGCGACCGGATTCTTCGGGTTGGGGAGTCGGGGCCCGGACGGGTGGGGAGTTGTACGGCAAGACTGACGGTTGTGGAGGCAGAGGGCCCGACGCCCGTCGACTGAGAGTAACTTCGGGGTCCGGCTGCTGATACGATGTGGGCGGAGGCTGAATTGGTTGTTGCGGCTGCACCTGTGGTGGTGCCGGCGGCGGAGGCTGCGTCGGTTGCACTACTGGCGAGGCCTGCATAGGTCTCGTGACATTGGCCGAGCCATTGGGAGATCGCGTTAACATGGGATCCACAATCCCCCGATCCTGATATTCTCCTCGCATGCTCCCAGCATCCGATTGCGATTGCGAATCAGCTCGATCGGTGGCACGGATCGGGGCGGCGGCGGCAACAATGGCAGTAGGAATAATTTGTTCGGCCACCAAGCTCGGGCTAAGGGGGTCCTGGTCGGCGCCATAAGCAGGCACAGGCCGAACGGATGCCCGTTCAAACTCGGCGGTGCGAGAAGAAGTAGTTGGTCTCGATGAAGAGTCCGGTTGTTGAGAAGGATACGGCACAAAGACCGGTGGATCTGGTATCGAGTTCCCTGTCCCATATTCTTCCACAAAGTTCTCGATGTCTTTGTCCGGCTCAAGCTGGTCCAACACACTACGGATCCGTTCACAAGACTGCAATGAACAGCGCGTGAGAAGCGGACGAGATAGAAGAGCACGGTCACGCACCTGGTCATCAGACACACATAACGTCGAAACCGCATTCGCATACATCCATATGATATCCCTCATGAAGTCCAGGCGGTCCTCCTCCAGGTCCTGACTTGCATCACAAAAGTTCTTCCAGTCCCTTTCCCATAGCGGTGTCATATCCATGACCGTTTTCGTAAAGTTGGCAAAGTCCTTCTCGTTTGCCTGGACCGTCTGTTGCGCCCTGCGCAACTTGAGTTGGAGCCGCTCAACGTCTTTGCCCGGGTTGACTGAAATTTGCTGCGAATAAGAAGCGATACGAAGGCAGTCGCTTTCATACTTCTCGCGCGCCTTGAGGGTATACGATTCCTGTGTCTGCTTGACTTTGAATCGTTTCTCCAGCGGGCCCTGCAGATTTTTACGATGTGTGATTTGTTTGCTGAGAAACGCAGTGGTCTGTGCCTCCAACTCTGATCGTATTTGGGAGGCGAATTCGAGATGGGCAACGCCTTGCTTCTCCGTTTCAAGGCTGAGGGTATCGAGGGAATTCCGCAATTCTCTGGACGAACGTGTGAGCCGACAACAGACCATGCATGTTAAGCGTCAGTGCACGCACCCAATCTCGTCCTTTCCCAGCGTCGCCTTCGCGAGGTTCATCATCCGTGCGGCGTACTCCTCCTCAATAGTTGCTCTGGCAGACCATAATCAGCAAGCTTAGATACCGCCCACGGAAGGTCGTCGATTACCGCTCCTTCCAGAAGTTGCGCAGCTCGTCCGTCGTACGACTCGCGCCGCGCATTCGGGCAAATAGCACGTTCACACCGGCGTCGCCCGCGCCCCAGAAGGAATTGCAGAAGTCGCGCGACGTGCTGCCGTTATAGAGATCTACGCCCGGAGACTTTGCGACTGCATAACGCGCGAGGGAGGTCGAGGAGGGTTGGCGTCGAATGGCCATGCCGATTGTCGCCGGTAAGTAGGGAGAGCGCGGTTTGGGAGTGAGAGAAACAGATGACAGGGAGATGTGGACCTCGGACACAATTTGAATGATCACGAATCCACGATGCTGTGTTGCACAGATACGGTGATCAACGCATCAGGCCGCCCGATCGTCCTGTTTCATCGTTTTCTTCCGTCCCACTACGATCGCTCACGCTGACTGTCGTTGACTCATAATATTCAATGTTTCGTGCGACAGCGATGGAAAAGTCATTGTCCACGCATTCTTGAAAGGGAGGAGCGGGGATATCACACCGGACCGGAAACGAAAATATGAAACGCAGAATGTCCCTCGATGTTCGGACAGAATGAGAAAGCCGGCTGAATACGAGTCCCCCTTATGAACACGATGCATCCTCACCCCGATCATGCCTGCAAGGGGTCCCCATGGGCTACGCTCAAGATCAAGATCTCAAGACATGTCGTTTGCGGGGGACTGCCAAATGCCGGCCACATGAGATGATTCTGCAACTTGTATACAATTTGCAACGCGCTGGGCATACCACAGCAGCTACCTTTTGACGCAGTCTCACGCAACTTCGAATTGGAGATCAACTTGACTTGAGCCTCGTGCACACAGTTGCTCATTGCAGCTGGCATGGCATTTCGAATGATCGCCTTTCCGTCCGGTATATGACATAGCAGCGAGCAAGACTCTAATTCTAGCATAGACTGACAAGGTCCGACCAGGCAAACAACATCCGGTGCACAACCCGCGTACATTGAACTCTCATTACAAGACACAGTCGCAGCCAATAAGCTGGGGAAAGAGCAGGCGGACAATTGATGCGGCTCATGCAGGAGTTTCGCCATCGTGAGCCATGAGAGGAGAAGACAGTGCATTAGGAAACCATCGACGGACTTGAGAAAGTAATCAAGGAGCTGTCGAGAAGGAGACCTAACTTTGAAAGAAACACTGGGTTTGTGGCGACCCGTACCTGAAATCATCAAAAGGATCAGTGCACGGATCAGAATCAATCATATTGTAGCGCTCCGGGTGGCCTAGATCTCCGCAGGCCTATCTGAATTTGTGAATCTGTCGCTCTTGAAGCGTCAAGTTTGATCTCTTTCCCTTTCTTGACCCTCCTCAAGTACGCAGGACATCACAGTCTCTTCGCATTTGTCTTCTCTCAGCTCCCAGAGCGTGTCGTGGTACCGAGAGCAAAGGCTTCCTGGACGCTTCCTCTTGGGTCCCGAAGTAGCGCAGGGACGCTATGATAATCGAGGTGTCCAGTCTCCCTTTGCTCAGGAATGCAACAGTGCGACTCACAGTATAATTCAAACATCAGCGGATAATTGGTCACTTCATGAACTTCTGGTTCAAACCCCGCTTCACTTTGAAGGCTACCTCTGGTAGCCTCTGGTATCGCGAGCGCTCTAATTTTATGTCCTGATGGTAGACATCGGTGGTCTTTGTGTGGCACTCTCTTGGGCATTGAAGCTTCCGACCGCGTGGAATCGCTCAAAATGATCTTGAGCCGCAAAGTAGTCGGGTAATCTGAAATAGAGGCTGATGTCGATTCCGGGTCTTTTTCGAGGCCCTAGATCTTCTAGATCTTTTCTGACTCTGTTTCGGCCCACAAGTATGAGAAATGACCCGCACACAAGATACCAAGCCTGAACAAGGATTGTAATCGCTGCCCGTGTCTTTTTACGGGAATCATTACCTGGCAATAAAAATGTCGAAGACAGGCCATGGGTCGATTCCATTGCTCCTGGTTCGGAAATCACGGCCTCCTCATAGGATAGTGGCGAGGAATCATCATCCTTTTACACAAGGCACAAATCTGGCCTTTTTGCGGTGGACCAGAGAGGTTAGATTGGCTCTCTTTCGATTTATGGTTTCGAAAGACTTATTATAATCACCTCGTCGTGGGTCGCTGAAGTCTCAGGGTCGGTTTCTGTAGGGCTGGCCCAAACACACTGGCCTCGAGAGATGGGCAGTTCCATCTCTTCCCCTAATTGAACAACCATAGGAAATCAAGTCATTATTTGACGAAATAAATTGTGCTTTGCCATTATATCTCCACGAGATAACCTCAGGCGACTGCTCGGTGTTTTGCCCCCTTTGACCTCCGCACGTGAATTCCATGTGATCGTTCCCTAATTGTGCCGCTACACAGCCTCGTGATTTGTCTCCTTCAGCTGAAACCCCCATCGACATTATCTAAATGGCTCGTTCGAGCCTGAAAAAGGCTGAGAAAAAGATGCCCAAGAACTCGAGCACGACGCTCCATCACTATTTCAAGAGCCCTGCGAGTGGTACACAACGTGTCTCCAGCACCACCCCGAAGCCGAAGGCCCTCATCGGGAACAGCAAGAACCTGATCATAGCCGCGCCGCAAGACATTATCGTCATCGATTCGGAGTCTGAGGTAGAAATAGAAGTGGTCGCAGCTGATGCTGCCATATCTCAGCGCAACGGAAAGCGCCTACGAAGCCCAAGCTGTACCGGTCGGGAGAACAGCAAGCGTGTTGCAGTCGCCATCGAGAGTTCGTCCCCGACCGAGGCGTTATTTTCATTTGGGAAACCCACGGAAATACTCGGTGGGATCAGCCCTGCGTCGTCCCTCGGCATGTCTTTCGGGCCTCCCAGTGTGCTGTTAGCATCGACGTCCTCATCTACCTCAACACGAACGACCGTCACGAGCTCTAGGACGAGCGCCGCATTCCAAATGGCTGACGAGGCGGACTGGGGCACGGGCGATGACGAGCTTGCTCTCATACATCCAGACGAGGACAAGGAGGATCAGGTGGACGACGTCGAAGAGGCTGTCTGCCCCATATGCGAGCGAGCGTTCAGTGACCTGCCGGACACAGTACGAATCTCTCTCTTCCATATGTATCAATAACGGCTGTCTCTGACTGACACGCGATAGGACCGGGATCGGCATGTGAACAACTGCTTGGACGGGAGTGGTTCTGCACCTGAGACGCCAAAGCCAGTCCCCCTGAAACCTCTTTCGACGCTTCCCGTTCCTTCCATGGCGTCTTCCTCTACCTCGCACAAGAGCAACGCCTTCTCCGTTCTTATGAACTCGTGCACGGAGAATGCTGTGTGGAACGAAGCGTCTACAGCCGAAGCGTCCCGCGCGACAAAGAACCAGCGGAGGAAGGCGCCGTTCTACAAGGTCCTACAGGGCATGCCTATCGCCGTGGACGCATTCAGATATGGATGTATACCAGAGGTCACTGCTTATTTTCTAACGTTGGTGTCAGCTTGATGACGCTCTTTCTTACTCTAATGTGACCACAGCCACGCCCACTCGGACCATTACACGAATCTCTCTTCATCCTGGAAACATGGGCCAATCTACTGCTCCGAGGGCACAGCGAACCTTATCATTCACATGCTCTCTGTCGACAAGAAATGGGTCCATCCACTCCCGATGGACACACCGACACTGATACCGGACACCAACGGAGTCCGCGTCACACTCATTGAGGCCAATCACTGCCCCGGATCGTCTCTCTTCTTGTTCGAGGGGAAGCAGACGGTCAATGCGGGCGACAGCACCTTTAAATCCCCTTTTGTCGGATCGCACAAATCGTTCCGGTATCTGCACTGTGGAGATTTCCGTGCCTCGCCGCAGCACACATGTCATCCCGCTGTGAAAGGGAAACACATTGACCATGTCTACTTGGACACGACGTATCTGGACCCCAAGGTGACGGCCCAATCAGTCCTCAGAAATGCCGTGAGATCTGATGCGCAAAGCAGTACACGTTTCCGCCCCAGCCACTGGTCATATCGGCATGTGCCGAACTTGCAAAACGTCTCAAGAAAGGACAGCCACTGTCGAATGCCACAGGGGTCATCGACAATTGGACGACGCCAATGTCAGGGAAAGGGAAAGAGAAAGCATCCCCGGATCGGATGTTGCTGGTTGTTGGGTGTGCATCGTCCTCTATCAGTCTTTTGTCTCGCTCATAAACGACTCAGCACGTATTCTGTTGGCAAGGAACGAATTGTCAAGGGCACGTCCATCTCCAGCTTCCGCGGCCCGGGCTGACTGCCTCACAGCCGTGGCACAAGCTACCAACTCCAAGATCTATTGCGACTCTCGGAAAGCCGCAATCCTCAAATGCCAGCCCGATCCCGAACTCCACGCGTTGCTAACATCGAATCCACTCGATGCGGATGTGCACATTCTCCCATTGGGGATGATCTCTTTCGACAAGCTTCAGCAATATCTGGACCGGTTCAAGGGTCATTTCACAAAACTCGTTGGCTTTCGGCCCACCGGTTGGACGTCAGTAAAAAAAACACTCCATACTGGCTGATTATCTGACATTTACAAGATATTCTCCACCTGTGGGCACAACACAATCTCCAACGCTCGCCTCTGTGATCTCGCAGACGCAGGCAAAATCGTTTTCACACGAGAATCTGCGGCCGGCTCGCAGTGCTCGAACACCGGGTGGCGATGCTCTACAACTGTTTCCCGTTCCCTATTCGGAACATTCGTCCTTCTTCGAGCTCACCTGCTTCGCCCTCTCCGTCTCTTGGAGCCGGATGATCGCCACAGTCAATGTTGGCAGCGAGTCGTCGCGGGGGAAGATGTCTCGATGGATCCAGAAATGGGAAGCGGAGCGGAAGAAACTGAAAAAGGGCGAGATGGTGCCGCACCGGCGGTCGGATTATTGGTAAGTAACGGTCGATAAGAATACACACGAGACAGGCGCACAGACAGCTATAACAACCATTTGGATATGTACATACTATTTTCCCAATAAGGCCCGACGACGCTTGTTTGCCCGACGAATCTCCATCAGATCAGCCTCCACTTCGGCATCCTTGCTCCCCGTCAGCGCGAGGAGGCTCTTCCCCAGGCCCCCGACAGAAGCATTGGCGTGGTTTCCTCCGCCCTTCGGCTTCTTCCGGCCATTCGGGCCAGTAGTCGGTACCGCTGCAGAAGCGGGTGCTGACGTGGACGTCAGGGGAAGGGGGAACGGCGACGGGATCTCGTCGACCGAGAGTGAATGGGGGTTCAGGAATGGCCCGGATGTGATGGGGAGAGCGCTGATGCCCGACGCGTTGACGAGCGGCTCCGCGGGGACGCCGGCGCTGTTGGCCAAGGCCGAGCCGGGGGCGGCGCCGAGCGGGGTGGGGGGTGGGGACGTGCCTATCTTGTTGCGCAGCTTGCGGGTGATGTGCGGACGCGTTTGCTCCATAGACGCATCTGTTCACGAGTTGTAGCTCAGAACGCGGATGCGTGCGGGAAGTAGGGAAAAACGGGCGAACCTCCGGCAGTGCCCTCCCCCTCCTTCTCGTCCCGCGCGCGCCGGCGGCGCTCCTCGATCCCGTCCAGCAGGCGCTGGCGCACCTTATCGTGCCCGCGCTGCCACTCCTCTTCCACGCGCTGCCGCTCCTCGTCGTACGCGCGGTGCGCATTCTCCATCGCGTTCTTTTCCTCAAGCTCGAGCTGCACCAGCAGCGACGACCGCTCGAGCGACAACGGGAACAGCCGCACGTCGTACATGGGCACGGCGTCCGGGCGCGTCGCGAGCAGAGCCGACATACGTTGCAGTTGCGCGATGTTTTCGTGGTGCGTCCGTCCGCTGTGTGGGAGGGTGAGTGATTTCCGCGGAATCAGGACGAGGGTGAGATGGCCAAGGACCGAAACGTACTCGTCCCTGCGCTCGTGTATGTCCTTCCCCAGTTTCCCAGACGACTCTTTGCGCTTCTTGGAGTCTTTTTTGACGTCGTCTCCCTGGGCGTCTACAAGGAAGTTTGCATCTGTCGGCGTTTGAAGGAAAGGGGACAGACGTACTCGGTGTGCGTGAGCTGGGACCGGCGATAGCGTTGTGGAAAGACATGCTCATGTTGCGCACTTTTGTGAGTAGTCGAAGGCCTGAGAGTGCTCGGCGCTGAAGGAAGCGTTGAACGATGTTACTTGGGGAGGAATCAGGATGCGTGCGCAGAACCGCGGAGGAATCTGGAGTCCAGCATCGCCACAATATGCCAATTCGCACGGATCACCCAAAAGCCGAATCAATCGCTGCAGTACAGTAATTTGTGTAATGCAAGCTCTGTTGAGAATCGTGCAGGTATTGAGATTCGTGCAGTAAAATACAGTCAAATTTACAATTGCGACGATATCTACTGCTGCTTTGCATGGCTAATAGCCTGAAGGACAGGCAAGCGATCGAAGTGTGCGGTGGATGCAATAAGATTACTGTACTTCAGTCCATCGCCCTAGAAGCTCATCAACATCTACATTCTAGCAGTGGGCATTGGACACGTACAATCATGATGCTGGGGAAGCCAGGGTCGAATGGAAGGATGCCTTCGAGATAGCTGACCTGCTCTGGGGATAAGACCACGTCGAGAGCCTCGATATTAGCTATGAGGTGCTCGACTTTACGGCCACCGATGATAGGGAAGACATATGGCGTTTTTTGCATCAAGTAGGCGATTGCGACTAGAGGGAGCGGATGAGAGTAGCTGAAGTGGAGAGACGAACGGGACGAACTGGAAGTGATGTGCTTGGCCCCGACTTCACCAGCCACCTTCTCCAAAGCAGCAGACATCTTTTTCTCATCTTCGTTCCTCTCCCACTCGGGCCTGAAGATCACGCGACCCTTTTCTCCCGAAGTGCGGCGAGCTTCTTCCTCGGCATCGGTGCGCAACTTGCCCGCAGCCAGCACGTTCCAGGGAGCGAGAGCCATTCCTTGAGAGGAAGTAAGCACATGGTGTCCGGGGAATAACAGTTGAGGCGCGTACCGTATGCACGAGCCATGGGAATAATCTCGCGTTCAAACGAGCGGGCCATCACGTTCCACGCGCCCTGGTAGATAACGAACGGCGACTTTCCGTGATCGCGAGCGTACTGGTTGGCCTGCGCGACGATCCAAGCGGGAGTGTCCGAAACGCCGAGGTACAGGACCTTGCCCTGCACCACGAGATTGTGCAGTCCGTCCATGACCTCCTCGACGCTGGTGTCCCAATCCCACCAGTGCAGGTACAGGATGTCGATGTAGTGCGTGCGCAGCTTCTTGAGACTGGCATCGACGCTGATGTTCATGGACTTGATGTTGTTGCCGACGTAGTTGACCTTTTGGGCATACTTGTCTTGCCGTGCTTTGAACCCAGTCGTAAACTAGGGCACAGTCAATCCCATCGTGGATGAGACTTGAATCTGGTACACCTTGGTAGCAATGACCAGCTGGTCTCGGATATCGCGTTTCTCCGACCATTCACCAATGAACTGCTCAGAAGTTTCATCCTGGCTACAGAACGCGTCAGAAGCTGTGCAGGCGTATTCAATAACGCGATTCGCATACTAGTTGTTCGCAGTGTCGATAAAATTTCCGCCTGCGTCGAAATACGCGTCAAGAAGCTTGAAACTGGATTCCTTGTCCATGGAGCCCATGCCCATCTTCTCCCACTGGTCACCGATGCTCATCGCGCCGAGCTGCAGCGGCGATACATGAACACCGGCTTTCGCAGAGAGGGTGCGGTAGACGCCGAGCTTGGTGGGAGGCTGAGGAGGAGGAGCCCAGAAAGACATTCCGTTGGATGGCGTAAGATGTGAGTATAGAAGAGGGGAGAAGAGGAGCGCACCCTTTTTATACTTATCTGGTTCTCATCCCAGCGCGCGACTCGGAAGTGGCGTCAACAGATCATCGGTTTCTAGGACAGATAGGTAGAGATTCTTCGTCGGCAACGGGCGTGCGCATACAGAGACGCTGATTAACCCAGCTTCTCCCAGCTGAGTCACCGAAGAGGTTCTCCAATGAGAAACCTCAAAAGTGACTCACGATTCATATGTGCTACCGGAGCCGGCTACAAAGGATCTTCCGAAGGCGCTCGAAGACCAAGGACCGCAAGACTGATCACTTTTGGACTCTTCAATGCGAAAGGACATCATTCATTCCTGAACACCCGAGCCCAGGAAGCAGATAGTGGCAATAGGGTTGAAAGTTTGGCAGAGTCTATGTCACGGACTGCGCAGTGCTTACCCAGAAGAAAGCTAGGGCTTCAGTGACAGCTCCGTGCGGTGCGCCCACAGCACGTGAGATTCACATGTCCGTCCCTCAGCAAATGCGGCGTCCACCGAGATGTAGAGAGTGCAGCCAACCGCGAGCTAGACAAAGTTGTTTTGCTTGCTGCTGCGTCTGGCAAGGCCCACTGGCCTATCAATTTTACTACAAATTAGACTCGTCCAAAATCCAAGAACATCGGAGGTTGTTGGCACGTGACATCCACGTGCAAAACTTCTGGTCCGTGCGCTTCGAATCGTATAAAATCCAACGCACAACAACTGGTTCAGCATACTTACCTTGATGGCATAAGCTCCTTCACGGACCTGGGCTTTTGGGCCGTGGGAACACTCCATAGCACGGCGACCCTGTCCATTCAGAGTGGGCCTGCGGTTTGTATGGGCTTCGGCTCATGCACCGTCTCAATATTTTCCTGTTCCGCCACGGCCACTCGGCTAGGCGGGCCGCTTTTTTTTGGTTCTTTAATGGGCCTAACCCTAACCCTCGGAATATTAATATATTCTGCTTTGACGCTCACTGGATAAGTAGCGGAGAAATCAGTGAAGATGACAGTTTTGTCCCCGTAGAAAGGTGAACTTGAATCAGCTCAATGCTCTATTCTACTTTGGGTAAAAATTCACAAATTTTACGTGTCGTGGAATTCAGCCTCAGTTTTGGATCGTGACAGTGAAGTTTGTGTATCGTGGAAACACGGGACCCTTGAGCCACGTTACTGTATGTTACCGGCACCGACGGAACAAAACACACACAAGGCTCTCGAAACGTGACGGTGGCAGATCACATGACCGTAACTCATTCCCTTGTTCTCGACAGCGATGGCGTTCTCGTCGAGTGCAGGAGAGACATGCATGTCCTTGGCCGTCTCCCTTCAGTCAGGTCCGGAAAGTCGATCCTTCGAGGTTGGTCGCCCACGCGAGTTATCGAGCGCCTGACAACAAGCGCTCTTCCAGGAAGTACGCATCGCCGATTACCTCGCTTCGTACCGCGCGACAGGGCGTCCGCCACAGCCAGCACCCGCATATCCCACGGATGCCGCCTTGCGTAGTTCTCAGGGATTGCCGCCTCTCTTCGTTCCCGCACCCTTCCCAAACTCCACCTCCACGCCATCGACTTCCGCCTCGACTTCCGGTGCACCGTCGATCTTCGGCATATCGAGCGCGCCTTCTACTTCAAGTGCAGCAACTATCAAGGACCCGACTCAGCTTCCGCAGACTCAAGCCTTTAACGAGATGCTTCCGGTCAACACCCAAACTTCATCGTCTTCCCTCGCTACTGAAAAGGAATTATTCACCAGCATAGTTGCCACCCCGACCTATCTGTTCTTCTCCCCTGAAGAGCTCAGGTACTACTCGTATGCCAGGCGGATACGAGAACCTCCACCTGGAACACCTATGTTTCCGTTCACCGTCGTTCCTTTGGCTAGTAGTGGATCCCATTCCGCGGCGGGAGGGGTTTTGGATGGCACGGATAAGTTGGTGAGCATCGTTGCGCAGCCCGATTTCGCCAAGCATAGTCCCGAAGTGCGTGCCTGTTTGCCTTTACACGCGATTTGTTACCCACCCTGCTCAGGAACTCCGGATTGCATTCCTAAAAGCAGGCACCGAGCTCAACTCCGCACAAATCCTTTCAGGTTCCATCCCATCGAAACCTGCTGCATCCAATGTATCACCATTCGCTCCGTCGCAACCTGCAGCATCACCTTTCGCTCCGCGACCAGCAGGGTCGTCTTTCGCACCGCCGCCGCCGATTGCATCGACCACCGGCTCCTCCATATTTTCCGGATCAGCCTTTGGCTCGCCACCCGTCCCGATTCAGCCGAACGTTTTCGGGCAAGCATCAGCACCAGCACCCGCGACTGGGGGTTTCTCCTTTGGCCAACCTGCAGCTGCTGTCCCGCCCCCAGTGATAGCCACTACCGGGTTCTCCTTCGGTAGCTCAGCGCCTGTGCCCCCAAATCCGACGCCCGCTGCAGGTGGATTCTCGTTCGGACAGCCGGCTCAGCCAGTGACAGCAGCCCCAACGACCTTTTCGTTCGGGAGCTCGGCACCTGCCGCTCCGGCTCCGAGCGCGTTCGGGGCGCCCGCTGCGGCGCCCGCTGCATCGGGCTTTTCGTTTGGACAGCCTCCAGCACAGCAGCAGCAGCAGCAGCAGCAACAGCCGGCAGGATTTTCGTTTGGGACACCAGCTCCGGCGCAACAGGCGACGGGATTCTCGTTTGGGGCGACGGCGGCTCCAGCGGGTGGCGGGTTCAGCTTTGGGACAAGGAGAATGTAATATCTAGGAAATGAATATACCAGATGCTTAGCCATGCGTTTCATCGAACTCGCCCGAAGGAGTGGTGTCTGGAGCGGTTGGGTGCTGAAGTGCCTGCCGGGGAATAGGAGTAGTCGGTTACTAGCGTGTCATACATTTGGACGACATCCTGCGGAGCAGTCGCGAGACTTCTCGCATGGTCTTGGATTCTTTCAGTCAGAGATAGTGGGTGCTCACCCAACCGGTCGAGATCAGAGCGCCGACTTATGAAGCGTCGGGCCAAAACGCGCGTGCTTCCGGATTGAATGTTGTGAGTGAGTTTGCCAAATGAGATGCCTGGATGAAGTATAGGTAGTAATTATATACATACATAATGCGATGCGATGCCATGAAAGTAAGTGTGCAAACAGCCCGAGGGCCAGTCTAGTCGCTACTACGCTTCCTTCTCGGTCTTGGTAGGGGTCGCCTGCCGCGAGTCAAGCAGGTGATCCAAGCCCGAAGGCATGATCACTCTCGGTTTGAGCAGGATGCGGCGAGTCCATCCCCCCGCGGCCGTCTTGTCTGAGCGAGTGAGTCCCAGCTCACATGTGCACAACACAGTTTCGCCAGGTTCTGCCCGGCTCTTGACGATCGCGTCCCTCATGGTCTCGGGATCAAATGCGACCCCGGGTGTGGCCGAAAGCGTCTTGAGCTCGCAGGCAGTGACCTCGGCACCGATGGCTTTGTTGAGGCCCAAAGCCAATCGCACGAGCCGCAATATTCGATCGGCGAATCGTGCCGAGATGAGCTCGTGCAATGTGCTGGGATCGCTGGCGAAGCCCGCAGTGAGCAGGACGTTGACGAAAGCGTCAACGAAGTATTCGCCTAGCTCCGGCTCGCCATGGATGAGTTCCTGCACATGGGAAAGCGTCAGTGCTCGCCAGCGGCCGGCGGTGGCTTGGTCCTGCCCGATACGAATGCGATGATAGATGTCGGTGAGCAGCTGTTCGTCCTCTGGGTCCTCGAAGAACCACGACGTGCTCATCCACCGGGAGTACTCGATCATCCCGCCCTGGAAGGCAATGCGGATGATAGTCTGGTCGTCGCTGTGGTCTGAAACGCGCAGAATCTCAACCATGGCAGGGCCCAGTATCTCCGTGGTGCGTTCGTAGACTTCAGCCATGTCCTCGGATTCGGCGGGTCCCGCTTCAGACTCAGACGGCGACTTGGGTTCGAATTCAAACTGCTGCGCCAGATACGCAGCGGTGTCTTCGATCTCCGTATTCAGCGCTTGAATCAGCACGAGCACCGCTTGGTCGGTCAATCGGTCCTCCAGTCGCGCTGCGGCCAGAACCGCTTTCGACTCCCGCAGCTCTTTTTCCTTCCTCTGCGCTCGATCCAGGGCCTCTCTGTTCTCCGCCATCAGACGCGTGTTCTCCTCTCCCAGCTGCGCGCGTGTTTCGATGAGCTCCTGGACACGTGCTGCCAGGGCAGCCTCCAACGCATGTTTCTCCTTCCCAGCATCAGCAAGCGAGGTCTCTGCCGCTTGCAGTCGAGCATGCAGCGCTTGAAGCTCGGCTTCTAGAGACGCCGTCTGATCGCGCGAGGCTTCGCTAACATGGACTCCGGCAGAAGCGCCGGCGTCTTGATCCTCGATTGACTTGGTTAGCGAATCTTCTGCTTGAGTGGTGGTCGAGTTTTCCCCATTCTGCTCGCTGTCTCTATCGCTCTGCTCTCCGCTGTGTCCGTTCTGGGATTTATCGTCCTCCTTTCCCCTCGTTTTGTCTTTCCCTTTCTTCGACGCTTGGTGCCGCCGCAGAGCCTTGGCCACGAAGGGCAGCGCGAGAACCGCCATGGCGACAAAAGTGACGATGTACGACGTGACGGAGGAAGACGAGGTTTTTTCGCTGGCTTGTGGCAGTGAGTCACTTGTGAAAATCTTCGCGGTGGTGTCACTGGGGAGGATGGGGGCGGCTGCAGACATAGACTACGTGTGAGGGAGTTCGCGTGTGCATCACCGAGTCAGGTCGACCAACATGAGGTGCGGGCGTGTCGCTCCGGTTATAAGTATTATGTGTAGCGTCACCCTGGACGTGGGTCGTGGGTCGGGAGTTCCGCCGCACACAGCGTCATCGGCCACGAGGCCGCGGTTCCTCTGATTATCTGTGGAATCAGGTTAATCTCATCAGTATCATCCGACACGAGGAAAGGAAAAAAAGCACTCGCGTGCAGCTCAGGAGCTTTTTGAAGCTTGAACTGAATGAGTTGGATGGAACCGTGATGAACAATACTAGCGATTAGAGCCTGAGCATCAGATAAACTTGTTGATTGGATATGGTTGGATGACGTCCGTGCGATGTCCGTTTTCAAGCCTTAGCCTCATGGCAGAATGCATTGCAGTGCATGCGACCCCCGGCGTACCGACGGCAGCGCCAGTCTCCAGATATGGTGGATCCTAGACTCTCGCATAGGACCCCCGATTAAAAATGTTAATCGAATGTCATATTATGACATTGGAGGTTGCTCAGATGAGACCACCCGGTGAGCCGGCCCAGGAATCCGTAGTCGGCGGTGGCCAGGCGGTGGCAGAACAAATGAGAGCGCAATGTTGTGATACCATCACCCTCATGTTGATGGTGTTATATCTTATCTTATCGCCCACGCGTATCTGAATTCAAGCCTACATACGCCCCAAGTCACAGTTGGCTGTCTGCCCATACAGATGGAACGGATCGCTTCGAATTTCAGCTGTGTTTCTGAATTCAAATCACGCTGGAAGAACTCTGGTCGACCTCATCATCTTCACGTCACCTGATCGATTAATCGACAGTCACCCCCTGCTCTCTTCCGTCTCCTCGTCCCTCCACATTTCTGATCATCCATCATGTGGTTAGTCGCATCCATCCACGCGCCACTGGCCTGCGTCAAACCACCCTCCAACGACCAGTAAACACGTCCTCAACGCCCAAGTCGCCATCCGCGCGCCGTGCTGCAAGCTGTGGTTCGATTGCCCCGAATGCCACGCCGAAACGCAGACGCACCCACTACGCAAAACGCTGGAGATGGCTTTCCTGTGCAAGAAGTGCAAGAAGGCGTTCCGGAAGGACATGACGACGTACGATGAGAGCGACGAGTACTGTCCGCGTTGCGACAATCATTATGTGTGTCTGCTTCCCTCGATTTGAAAGTCAGACTCGACGCTGACTGTTGCGATCCTTACAGGTGTTGGATGCCAAAACTCCTCAGGCGGTGGTCCAGGTTGAGGGAGAGGACATTCGTGTTGACGCAAGGTACGTTACCCTCTGCTTTTTCTTGTCCGAGGTCCAAGCTCAGGCCGGCGATGAGAATGATCAAGGACGAAAGAGTACAAGACACATCTGAGCTCGAAGACGATGAGTTCTTCTCGGAACGTTTGGGCTAGGACTGTCATCTTCGACTCAGAGAATCATGGATCAATTAGCTCTTTCTCTATCTACTGTATCCATGCACCAGCTACTGGGGGCGAATATGCGATTTCAGGCGTGCTTGCTTGTTTTCGCTGACCTCATCATGCGCTCCTTGAGTTCCGACAACGTCTCTTTCCCCCAGGTCCCTTCAGCGACGCCGCGCTGACGATCACGCTCTGCCTCGAGTTTCTGGGCCTGAAGATTCGACTCGACGACACCGTCCATACGGTCCACTGTCAATTCGCTGACAAAATCGGGGTCCAAGGCCTCGGGCCACGGTTTGGTCACGGCGGAGATGCCACAGTTTCTGTAGGCGGGCAGTCGGATGCCCTGCGTGTCCAGCGCTCGTGCTGCATCTCGGCAGTCGCAGAAAGCGACCATAGCGTGGAGTTCGTACATCGAGGAAGACGGTTTGTCGCCGTCCTTCGTCTCGCATTCGACCATCCGGATCCAGACGCCTTCCAGTCCCCCCACGCCCGCCAGGTCCTGTCGTACCTGCACGTTCGCGGTGGCCTTGATCGTTTCCATCATTTCATGCAGCATGGCGCGACGGGCAGCGATGAGCTCGTCTTCCAGTGCGCGTTCACGTGCCAGAGCCTTGCGGAGGGCGATGCTCACTTCGCTTTCGTCCTCGCCGTCCTCGTCAGCGCTCTTTGCTTCTTCCGCGTCCCTCGGTCCTCTTTTCAACAGAGAGGTGTCCAGCGGGAAATTAGGCCCAGGGACCCGAAATGTGAGCCAACGCGACAAACCCGGCTCGACAGGAAACTCGGAGGTCGGTTTTGCCAGTATTTTCGTTACTTGAAAGTCGAAAGAGCTAAGTCAACAGTGAGAAGAGTAGCACAAAATTCTTGGTCCTTACCTCGGAGATTCGGTCGATAGGAATCTTGCATACCTTTCATTGCTCCAAAATGGCAGAAGAATCGGAGGGCGTAGGACGGGGCGGATAGTGCTAACCGAATCTCGAGTAGAAATGCTTGTTGCGGCGAGTTTAAGACTCCAATCCTGGCTCATGAACAGGTTTGCAGCCCGGGAATTTGTGAAGTAGATTTTCTACATTGTTGATCATCAATGACGAGGCCACAGAAGCACTGCTGACAACGCACAGCTCGAACTTCGGGAGCCCCGCTTGGTGAGAGGAGACCGAAGACAGCAATTTTGGCCACTTCACGGGGCTGCACGCCGACGAAGGTCGCAAGCCGACTGAGATCGGACACGGTAGTGAATCGGGGGAGCACTCCGAGCACTACAGATCGCGTGAGATTCGCTCCGGCCGACTGAGTGATATGTGGGGGGAACATGCTCCGTTCATGGCTCTGTTTCGGACCCTTGGGCTGATGGGATTGAGCCCATTGTATGCGCGTGAGCGAAGATGCACGTACGTGACCGAAAAAAGAGGATGGCTTCGTCCCAAATAGCCCCGACTCTCTGATGGGCTGCTCGCCGTTGTTGAGCTCCAATTCCAGAACCTGGTCTTGCACTGTTTCTCCCTTGGACCCGAAAGGGTGCTTAAGCTCCTTTGGCCGCTTCTTCTTTTCCTGCTTCTTCCCGGGATACGCTTGGAGACGTTCCGCTACGTTTCCATCGCGAGGAAGTCCGTTCCGTGACTGTGAGTGGACAACGGATTCGGAGTACGTCCGGTGCGGTGCAGCAGCAACGCGAGACCGGAGATGCCAACTGAGGGCGGTGAGGCGGGAAGCTCTTAGTTTGGCTAGACTTTTGAACACAGCGGTATATGGCCGCGACTGGCGAGCGGCCAGCATAACATCGAAACGACAGGTGAGGCACGCAAAAGAAAATTGATCGCTGTCCGTGCGGCATCATGTGACTTTCATGTGACAGTGTCAATGTTGAGTCTTCCAAGTCTCTTTGACCGAGCTAGCTCTTGCCCTAGTTCTCTATTCCTCGTCAGCAAAGATCGTATTCTATGCTTAGCTATAGCTATGATCTGATGTGCACTTGTCAATCTCGGATTTTTCTGCATGCTGCCTTGTTTACCACGAGCCTTTGGAGCCCTTCCACGCCCCCAATCGAGAAAGATCTCTCTGTGAGTCTGGTTGAAGCACGGGTCTTCAGATACTTGGTGTAGGTATCCTCCGTTGGCTTGGCCTGTTCAACTTTCAAATTCTCGCTCCTATGGGCTGTCTGGATCTATTCAGGAAGGTAAATTTTCAACTCTACAGTGCACAGCAAGAGCCAAGTTGATCAAAGACGGAGAAAGCCAAGTGATTGTTATATACCCATTATACACTTCAGCTTCAGGAGTTGTTCTGTAACTTTAATTTCTGGAGGTGTTAGTGGAAAATGTTGTTTCTTGGCTCTTCCTGCAAGCTGCAATGTGTTTCCTGTGTCCCCATACCTTGCCGCATGCAAATTTTTTGCATAGAAACACCTAATATGAATGCTCTACCTGGTCTGCAACAATGCATGCCACCCAAGCTGTGATACCACTGACCGGCACATGACATCCCTGATCAGGGCTACCAAGCACCGCACATTGGTAGCACTGTCTGTCCATTGCTCCGCAACATCTACTACAATTCTTCTGTACTCAAAGGTAGGAGGGAAGGGTATAGATGATCAAAAATGTGGTGCTTATCTACGCTACCATTCCAAAGCTGTGTTCTCACAAGATCTATTTTCGAACACTGCAGGGGCCCTGTGGATTGGTGATGGCCGGTTGACATTCCCGTCATTTCCAGCCTGGTCGGACCCGGGGCCAGCGCTAGAACATGTCATACACACTATAAGTATACTTGGATAGATCCCCATCCCAGGTGTCCGCCTGGAAGCACATCCAGTGACAGGTCATGTGGCTCACAAACCAGTGGGAAACCACCGTGATGTATGTATCATATCATTGATGGCAAATTAATTTTGTACATGAAGCCGGTAGCCCAGTACCGGCTTATTAATAGAATGTAGAGGTGTACCGGAAACGAGTGTGGGGCCTCAACGAGGTAAATTGGGCAAATTATATACAGCAGAGGGACAGGCAGCAAATCAAAGCAGCGAGATCAAAGTGCATCGGAGAATAAAATTGGTCGAGCTGGTATCAGTGTTTTGGCATTTGCATGTGCGTTCATCGCTGCGTGAACGTCAGACGCGACTTTTCGCCAGAGTACACGTCTTTCCGAAGCATGTCAGTACAGATGATGGACGGCCACAGGCAATTGACATACCGATAGGTGACGTGAAGTTGTGCACCAACGGGTTGAATCGGGAGCCGTTGCGGTGTAATGAATGTTGTGAGCTGGCGACGTAGCCGAGCTCGACGTCATCGCCTCTGCGTCTGTTCGGTCGCAGCGCGGGCTCTTCCATCTCGAATTCTTTGTAGATCGAAGACGGCGAGGCAAGCGCTGGGACTTCCTGCAAGCTGGCGTGGCTTTTCTGCGGCGACGACTGCCGGTACAGCGTGCTGGGAGCAGCATCGAAGCGCGAGTCGTAAGAATACTGCGAAGCACGCTGGTCGCCCAGGTTTATCGTCGATGTGATCGTCGGGTGCCCATATGACCGGTTGCGCCGTCTCTCACGCGCAGCATCTCGGGCGGCGATCTCTCCTTCCACAGACCGAGGGAAGAAGATCTGGTTGAGAGGCTCAGCAATCAGAACATCAAGTGTCTGATCGCACGCACCACTAAAGTCAAGGCGGAGGACAGAGCCAGGCCAAACGCCGAAATCACGGCGAGAAAGTCTGGAACGGGTCAGAACCTGTGCGGTAACCAGAGAACTGTGGTCACGGACCAGTCCAAAGCATGCTTTCGTTGATATGGGTGTGAGTTTTCACGCCGTCAGCTCCCAATATAACGAGCGGGATGACGAAGACAAAGCGGAACACGACTCGAATCAGCTGCGGACGGAGTTGGTTGGAGTACATGCGGCCAAGAGAAGAAGGCGCATACATTCAGTTCGTGGAATTTAGTCAATCGGACAATAGTGTTCACATCGACCCCTTCAGACTTCTGTAACAAGTGTGAGGACTGTGGGCGATTCGAGATCGGTGAAAGGGGACAGACCAGACTAGACAGGAACGCAGGGAAAGCCCAGCTGTAACGGTATCAGTGAGAGAACGATCACAAGCATTTATGGGGTAGAAACTGACAGAACCGGCGTGAACCAGAGCGTCAAGGATAGACTTCCGAGACTGCCACCCAGGAATATGTACGCTTCACACTAAGTTCCCGTTCAGACGCATCCTTTAGCCGACTCGGCACACTGGTCACGAACCTTCAGGGGGTCGGAGCGCGTCAGAATCGTCAGCAGCGGCATGTACGTGACAGCGATGCAGGAGCCGACAATCCAGGTGCGGAAGTACCAGCTTTTGAACCAGTCCTGCTGCACAGAGCCCGAGTTGACGAGGAACAGCCAGAAGCAAAGCTCTGCGGAGAGTTGAGCATGGATGTCGGACCGAACGCAGAAGGCCGTGTATCTGTACCTTCCAAATGCGTGATCCTGCGAGGAACCCACAATCAGAGATGGCGCGCCGGAATCAGACCGACTTACATTTCCATGCTCCAACCGATAGCGAATGCGAGCATCAGGGGGAACAGAGCACGGCGTTCGCTTTCAGTCCACAGCTGATAGGGCATCGGGATGACTGGCCGGACGGACGAACGGTCAGCCCCGGGCAACTACCGCAGATCGAGATCACGCACTGGCTCCGTCGTGCACGATGAAACCGTGCTTGTACTTGATGATAGCGAACCCGATGGAGTAGGTCATCACCAACGGTATACTCAATAGATACGAGTACTAGATGGGAGCGAATGTCTGTAAGTAAGAGAGCAGGATGCATCGTATAGTGGGGACGCACCGTCATGACCCTCTTGAACGCTCCCGTCTGCGGCCCACTATTCCACCTGCGGACCTCGAAGTTGGCACGGATTCACGCAGGACACGATCGGAGGGAGGGAAGGTACATACTTCAGACACCTGAAGCGGTCAAAGGACCAGAGATGGAACACCAAGAACGTGAAGAGCTGGGGCGCGGGTCAGCGCGATAACGGGATCCAGGGCGGCGCAGACTCACGATGCACGATATAATCGACCATACGAGAAAGGTCGCGGGGGAGGTGTGGGACATTGTACAACGGAAGACGTGTGGTTGCCAGCGCACTGAAAGCTCGAGCCGGCGAGAAGGGGAGAGATAGAACGAACGAAGCTGGAAGGGAGAAGCTCAAACAGCCTGGGAGAATACCCAGGGACACCGACGATGTGTTATACTTATGCGAGAGCACATGAATGATGGTGCAAGTAGTGGATATTGATGGACGTGCGCACGAGTTGAAACTCGTCCGTTTGCTCCGTAACCAGGGATGACAGGAGATCATTCGCTCGCGGTCGTGACCAGTCTACGGAATTTGCAAAGCATGCATCGCATCATCGCGAAACAAGCGCGTGTCCGAAACAAGACGTTCAAACACGCACGTCGCCACTCCGAGCAGGGGGCTGCGCAGGGCGGCTCCGGCCCGGGTGCCTCATCGAGTTTCGATTGGCTAAGATTGATCGACTCGGAATCAACCGATCTTAGAAAAAGATGCCACCCTCCACAGACGAGCAAGAAGAGTTTCTACTATCATGCAGATATGGGGACCTCGACGACGTGAAGACATTCGTAGACAACTTTGGTGCTGAATCGGCGGCCCAAGTGCGCGACGATAATGGCAACTCTGCGCTGCACATGCTCTGCGGCAATGGACACACAGGTACGTTCGGTCCATTCACCCTGCGATCCCTGTCCCAACCTCGCTTGAGTGTGTCTGATTTTAACAGCGTCGTCCTAGATGTGCTCGACTACCTACTCCCGATCCTCCCTCCGTCCGTGCTATCCGCCAAAAACCACGCCGATTCCACACCACTGCACTGGGCCGCGCTGAATTCGCACCTCGAGATCATGAAGAAGCTCGTGCAGTTCCCCGCTGGACCAGGACTAGACCTGATCGACATCAAAAACTCGGCTGGCCGTTCTCCGCTGGGCGAAGCCGAGCTGGCGGGCTGGGACGAGGGTGCGCGATGGCTAGTCCAGATGATGAAGCTGGATACCGGCGGCGTGAACGAAGGCGAATCTGATGTGAATGACGGTGACGGGGACGCTGCAATCGGTGCTGGCGAAGTCGAGATCGAGATCGAGGATGCCGATGGGAAACTAGCAAAGATGCGAATAGGTGGGGATCAGGGCACCAGTTCGACCACCGGAGACTCTTCGGTATGAGAAAAACATTTATTCCCACCACTGCACATTCCTGTATGTTTCTACTGATTATAACATATGCACATCATCAGCCATGTGCTATGAACTGCTATGAAATGGGCAACATCTCCGGCTGCCTGTAAATGTAATGGATCCGTATCCAACGAGCATGGACAGCGGCGATCCTTGGCGAGGCATCCAATGATCCACATTTTGGAGTGGACCATCATCAAATCATGTCGCTGGCAGTTCGATGCGCCAATCTCTGATTGACCTCGGTAAAATGACGCACTCGAAATCGGCAATTCCAATACCAAGAACTGATATCTTGTGTGGGGGACTGAACAAGAACAGTTCTGCTCCGGAACGAAGTAGAATCATGATCAGCCGTGCATATTGATGGAAAACACTGATATCTACGTTGTCTCAGAGTGCACGATCTCACGTCGAGCCGACGTGGCGTCAGTCATCCCACCAGGCCATGAGAATAGGTTCGGTCAGGGCCATGAACGTTGCGGGTGATATCGACCTGATGCGCAGGGGTTTCGAAACTTCCGTCTGACTGCATGCTACCCGGTCGTATTCCTGATACTGTGGCGGCCCAGCATACTCCAGGTTCAAGTTCAGGTTCGCATGTCCAGATTGACGCGTCTCAGAATCCTTGCGCGACACCTCAGGAACATTCAAGAACGATGAAAGCACGGACAACACTCACGCTCGACGGCAGCTCGACACTACCGGGCCATTGCCTCGTATCTGTGGCCAGCGTTGATTCTGTGAGACGTCAATCAGTATGCAGTCAGCATTCAAATTGAAACAAGCTCGCACGGGATTGCGTTGCGAGCAGTGGTGGGACTGGAGACGAGATCATGGACGACAGAACCTCCTTACTCCGTGCATTATATGGCAGAGGAATCGGCGCCGCAATCGGAACAAGCACCGAGGTTTGACTCTCCCCCTCGCCCGCGTCGTCCTCGCCTTCCTCAGACTCAAGCTCAAGAACGTCTTCCTCGTTCGGCACCGGAACGTCTGAGACTCCCGAGTCGCAGAGGATGTTCGCCGAGCGAAAGTCAGGCATTGCGCAGGATTTATTCTTGATCAGCATTGGGTGAATGCTTGAGTCTTCTTGATTGGGGTTGATGTTCTCAGCATTTTCATCATAGAAATCGGACGGCGTCGAGCTCTTGTGATCGGGGGGAGAACGCGAGTCAGAGGTGGAGTGGAGAGAGACATAACAGGGCGCAAAAGAGCTCGAAACAGATGCAGGACGCTGCTCCGCGTGACAGCCATTCCAGACATGTTGGTCGGCGTCGGTCAGACTGGCAGTGACAGCAGGAGAGTGAAAGCGATTGTGCCGCTCGACAGCATTGTCTGCATCGCACTCGAGAATTGAGACTTGACTCGGAAAGATAGCCGGCGTCTCCCTGAGAGCGTTCGGGCGAAAACTAATGGACGCATGTGTGGGAAACTGTTGCGTGGAAGTGGCCGGAGGCGGGCGACGCAACGATGAAGTATGGACTGTATAGCTGATCGGGGTGCTTTTGACCTGCAAGGAATGAAGTCTTGGATGTGCATCGATTCGATCGAAAGGGCGCTGAGGGTGAAATTCCATGGGAGAGAGCGGGCAAGAAACTGAGACAGGTTTCCGGGAACTCCCGCCGCGTGCTCAATGATTGTCTGCAGCGCGTTCTGTCACGCAGGTATGACCTGTGACAGGTTGATACCATTGCGCAAAGCAGATTAGATAATTTTAGATTTGTGCGGCGAGTAGCTACAAAACTACTAGTGGGACGTTGTAAACGGAAAGAATCAAGGGAACAGGGGGAAGTCAGATGCGTCTTGTAGTCTCACTCCTGTGTCGAAATCCTCGAAATCAGCCCCATAGCCGAACCATGATGGGTCGCAGACACTTGTTGCGTTCAGCTGGACACTGGAACAAGAAAGTGCGCTCTCCGGCGAGCAAGTCCTACCACAATCAGAAACGGCGGCATATAAGTGCAGAAGATAGCTCACATGCACACTCCACGTTCGTGATATCTTGGGACTCTTTCGAGCTGACTACGCTTGAGCGGCTTGCGAGGTGGTGGAGGCAACGGCGTATAAGAGAGCGGAAGAGATTTATCCCAGGTATAGAAGTTTCCTCCGACAACGATCGGCTCGACTTCGTCGTCTAGCTCCAGCATGCCCCAGTTCTCGCATATGCGGCGCTGCTTGAGTGGTACGAAAGGGGTCTAAATCACATATCATCGGTTGGTGGTTCACAAGAAAGTAATTCTGGGCGTATTCACCTCTTTTAAGACCGTTCTTGTTGAGCACTTCTTGGAGGCGAGCACGGACCTGTAGCTGGCCGACCGACGTGCTGGTAACACTGGGTAGACGCAGTGTCCAACATCCGGACACCTCTTCCTGTCCTTCGCTATCTTTCTAGCTCTTTTGGACTTGGAGCTGATCTGAGCCCAGGAGTAAGAGAAGATGTTGACCATAACGAGGATACTGAGGCTTTCAGGTCGAAGGAAGGCGTCGGAGATCGTCGCTGAATCGAGCCGACTGCCTCCCTTCGGATTTAAAGCAAGCTCCCTCGCGCTTTGGACAGAGCTTGAGCATGATGCGCGCTTTGAGGTGGACAAAGAGATCAAGCCGACATGAAAGGTCAAGACAAAGCCCGGGCATTTCCTAATACGGTTCACATCAAAGCGCACAATCCAAGCAAGAATGTAGGTCCTTGACAGAGGGTCTTTGTCGGGCGCCACTTGGGACCATGTAACATCAGGACACACAAAGACCCAGAGAGTGTGAGAGAGAATCCGTTTCTTTGATCGTGGCTCAGTTTATGTCATTGTATATTCCTCAGATGCACCCAGTTCGACTCCCGACCTTCCCGTCTCAAACACTGCCCTCAAACTCCCATCTGCTTTGACTCAAGCTCAGAATCGATCGAGCGGAGCAATACAAATTCTCGATCCATGGCGACAACAGATATACAACAGGCGAGCCTCACTCTTCGTCCTCATCCTCGTCCTCGTCCGCCTCATCTTCCGACACATCCATCCCGGCTTCCCTCATTCTAGCTTTATCCGTCTTGCGTTTGGCGCTTACTTCGTCCAGCAACACAAGCAGATCTTCCTGCTCCTTCTCCAGCTCCCTTGTCTTACTTTCTGACGATTCAAAGTCAGCCGTCAACCCTGCAACTCGGGTCGATATCTCTGCAACTTGGGCGTTTGCACTGGCGAGCTGGGACTGCAGTGCTTGGATCTAGAATTGATCAGCCTCGGAAACCCGGCTGCGGTTGAGAGCAGCTAACCTCCTGGACACCGGCACTAGCCGAACCTTTGGCTTCCTCCTTTTGGACAGCATGGGCAGCTTCCATCTCTTGCAGCTGCCGCTTCAGAGCCTCCATCTCCTGCGCCTGGTTCTTGATGACATCCCGAAGAGAGGCAATGAGCATAGCACTCTCTGCACTGGGACCAGAGTTAGATGATGCCAGCTGGTCTGGAGGAGAGGAAAGGCTGCGCTGGACAGTGTCTGCAATCTGTCAGAGACGCACAGGAATTGATCGAGGGCTGCCTACAATAGTTCGACTTCCAGAAGTCAATGAACGCCCAATCAAACCATATCTCCCCTTGTTTCTCTTTCTCGGAATCACCCTTGACGCCAGCGACATGGGCCGGTGTTGCTCCCGAGAAAGGCAAAACAACCAGGTCGGGGCCAACGGCCTTGAACCGCTCGTCATCACGCAGTCGGGTCATGCGACCAACTAAGGTTTCGACACCAAGGCGGTTGATGATAGGATAGATAGTGGTCCTATAGCGGTCTGAGAGTCGGTCCTTGGGAAAGTACGAGCAAACCTACCTTGTGATTTCTCCCGGCTCGCGATCAAATTCGTAGCAGACACCCAACAAGAAAGCACACAGCCCTGGAGCCACCGAATCAGTCTCGCCAGTCTGGTTGATCGCTTCGACCAGCTTTTCCGGCGGTCAGTAGATGCTACATTGCGACCATAACGATCATGCTCACTACACTCAATCCTCCAGCATCCAAGAAATCCTTGACGGCAAGAGGCTCTTCCCATAGCCATTGGCACAGCAAACAGAGGTAAGCGCCAACCAGCCGGTCCCATTCTCGAGCTTCTCGCTCTGAGGAATCTAGGCGAGCACGTGCCAGAGACGCAAGTGAGAGATGTTCGCACAACAGCGGCAACAATGCCTGCGGTGGGTCCTCATCATCTTCTGGTTCTGGCTCGGGTGGTCCGGGTGCTGGTCCGCCGTCAGCAGGAACGAAGAAGCCGCTGGTATCATTTGGATCGCCCAAGGAGTGTAGGGAGGGGGGCACGATGGATCGAGCCAGCGCTTTCGCACGTGGCGAGCTGCGCAGCAGATGTGCGAATAAGAAGACGGATAGGTGTGTCGACGTGATGGGGGCAACAGCTGGGGCGGAAGAAGTGTTGGGCGGGCAGGATAACGAGTGGAGAAGTGGTGTTGCTTGGGAGTTCTCTGCCGCGACAGTCAGCATGCGCGATGCGACGGTGCCGAATAGACGTACCAGAGCCCTCTGCCGGAAGCATCGCTTGAAGGATAGCCAATCGCACTTCGTCTTGGCGGACAAAGTTCTACAGCACCTAAATGTCACTCCACGGTGGAAAGAAACGCACCCACCTCGAAAACACCAACTGCTGCTGTTCGCAACTCCAATCCGTCTTTGAGACGCTTCTCGCTGTCAGCCCCGTTGTATTCTCCGTGCAGAGCGAGTTCGACGAGAACATCCAGAGCCGTGGCAGGTTCAAGACGGTCCCATTCTTCCCCATTAGTGTCCGGGACCGGGCAGTACGGCGTCAAAATCATTTCCGCCAGTGGATAGTTCACGTTTGGAGGCAGATGATGTAATGCCTGCAGAAATTTGAGATACAGCGATCATCTGCGTCAGTCGCACCACGCATACCTGTGTTTTCAATGGCGTTGGTGCGTTCGATGCGAGGGCCATTTCAATGAGACAACGCGTATAGGCTGCCACCTCTGGAGTCTTGCCCAAAGCATCAGCACATCGCCAACATAACGGTCATCAATTATACTGACACTGTTGCCTTTTGCACTGCTGATCAGCATTCCCATGATCCCCACCACTAATGTCACATTGGCAGCCTTGAGGTCATCCCAGAACTGGAGAGCAAACTCTTGTGGTGCAGGTTGATCCGGAGGCAAATTAGGAGGAAACAGAAGCAGGGAACAAAGTATCGGGGGAAGTGCAAGTTCCCGGAAGTAGCTCTGCAAAGATCCACTAATTATGGAGCGCGGATCTAGGCATCAGAGTTACTTGCCTGGTTTAAAGAGTTGAACCGCAAGAGCCCGTCGACACAGGTCAGCACTTCTTGAGGGACAGCTCCGCCTTCCACTCCACCTTCTTGCGTGATGGTCGTAAACAGCTTCTCGAACGCGCCCTCGAACGCGAGAACTTTCTGTATTTCGACACTCTGGGAGATCAAAGCTTGTACCATCGTTACAGCCTCTTCGATCGCGTTGAGCATCACTCTGCGGTAGAACGGGGCAACGTACCGTTCCGAATGATCTGCCGCGTGTCTTCAAGGACCAGAATGACGCTGGACGGACCGGCCGGTGCTTTCAGGAAGTATCCCTGCACAATCTGACGCCGATTCTCGAGCAACGTAGAGAGATATTGTAGCGTCGCGAAGCGCGTGTAGAAGGCTTGGTCCGCAAGGAGCGCAAACAGTGTGTGCACGGTCTTGTCGTTCGAAAGGACTATATCCGTGTGCTTGAATCCCAGCTCCCGGTTCTCATCCACGTCACAGAGGATGTTTAGAGTCTCTAGAGCGGCCTTTCCAATATCCACATCAACTTCCGCATCATTGGCGAGTACATCCAGAATGCCTTGTAGCGCCCGGTCTCCCACGTCTTCCTTCCAATCTCGTGCCAATCCCTTGAGCGAGAGCACGGCAGCGCGTCGGTCGGCCAGCAGCGTCGCCGGAGAAAGTCGATCACTGAGCCGGGCGATCGTTTCGGTGGCGCTCTGAGGCGCGCCGGTCGGGCCTCGTAGCGCGACATACGTCTGAGAGAAAAATTCCATGGATATCCGTTTAGTGGGAGGAATCCGCTCAGCGACGGTGTGTGACGGACGGTGACGAGTCACTCATCGATGATGCGATCAGTACGTTTGATTTCCCAACTTGTTCTCACCCGAGCTCGCAAGCTGCGGCCTCGTTTTTGTGTATCGTGCGGTCGAGAACCGGTTGGTATCATTCAGGTGATTTCTTCTTCTTCTCAGAACAAGTTATCTTCACTGATGAGATGGAATGTCAGCCCCTTGAATGATGTTGCTTCACAGACGATGCCTGCCAGTGCATGAAACCGCTCGGAAACTCTTAGTTCCTGCTTGAAGTTCCAGCAGGAGCCAAGGATCTGGCGACTCTCTTCATTTGATTGTCATATCCCCGTGTGCTGAAACTCCGTGCGCTGATAACATCGACATCTGAACATGAGCGGGCATATTTTGGAAGCCTTCAAACTCTCATTAGACTCTATTATGCTATCTGCAAGGTACTTCTCGCTACCTTTCTGGGACGGCGTGACTTTTTCTTTTCTTCAACACTATATCTGACACTCCCTGTGGTAAACTGGCGCGGCGTTCGGGACCGCGGGTGCTTATGTACGTATGTGCTCTGCTAACTGGCGCAACGGCGCTCACTTTCACCTGGTCAAATGTCCGATAAGGTCTCACTGATTCTGTCTCGGACGTCTCTCTGACTGGTGCAGCACTTGTGGTATCTCGCCCACGGCACAAATATGCAGCGATATGGCACTCGGCTTATTTCCTCGGGGCATGTCTCAAGATGATCAACGATGATTGGTCGCCCCATGCTCCGCTCATGATTCTCTCCGTCTTTGATCGAATCACGATTCTTGCTGTCGCAAACTCAAGAATCCTATCATATCGCTAGCGTTCGGCGCCTCTTCTGTGGTGGGCAGCTCGATTGGACAAATTCTCCGTGGCCTCGCATATCTTTCTCTGAAGTGGCTCCAATCGAACGCAGACAAATGGAAGTCCAAGATCAATGGGCCCACGCGCCTCCCGCCACACCGACAAGAAAAACCGTTGGAAACGGACGCCGGAATCTCGGAGAACCGGGCTTTGTGTTTTAACTCTCCCGCGATTGTCCTTGTCAGAGAACCGGCGTTCAAAGTGACTGGCGAGTAGCTGCTTGTAGCCCCGCCGGCGATGCTTCAGACGATTTGGGTGCACCCATATGAGCATTCAGCTCTCCGTCTCGCAACACAGGTTGCAAACTCATCGTCCGCCCGTGACTCACTGGCACTTGCCATGTCAACTAATGTTGGGTTCCTGATCAATGCTTAGGCACAGGAGACCTTGCATCACGTTACCAAATCGGGCAACGCGTCACGACGCGTCTCTCATCTCATCTAATTCAATTGATACCGTCTTGAGTCAAACGATCACGCCCGATATAAAGGCACTGCACCAGGCCCCACGCTCATTTCCTTTCTTTGCTCGCCATGGGTAATGTCCCAGCGCAGCCCAGTCATCCGCTGGTCACCCGTAAGCGCTCGACGGCAGGATTCTCGCGCGTCATCCTGCCATGCACATCAACGAACTTTGTCGACGTCGCCGAGAACGACTCGAAGGAAACCGTCTCCCTCATGAACGAAAAGCCGTGCTGCATCTCCGCCGAAAGCAGTCCCCGCCGCCCCACCCACCGCCCCATCGTCCCCGATCCCTCCAGCTCTCGCCTGCTGCCCCCACCCCCATTTTCTCTCTATGCTCCAGGCCAGGACGCGCCCATCGATGCAGCTGCCACCGCATATACTCTGTTTCTCGATCGGTTTCCCGGTGCGCCGAATAGACTGTGCCCCTGATAGGCTCTTCTTGCTCACTACTCGTGCGTTTCGCAGAATATCGGCTTACTTGGATTGTCGACGCACTTCGCCGCAGCGATTACTCGCGGCTAGAGACGACGGGGGAGACATACGTCGATTACATGGGCGGGGCGATATATCCCGAGAGTCTGATCCGGGTTCACACTGACTTCCTGCATCGCAGCGTGCTAGGAAACACCCACTCTGTCAGCAACAGGTGAGTGATTGTTCGCTTCGACAGAGATTGGGTTTCATCGCAGTTCCATATCAGCTCAAGCCTGTCATTGCGCTCGGCAGATGAAGCGAGAGCAGCCGTGCTGGGCTTTTTCCGCGCCTCTCCCGTCGATTATACCGTGGTCTTCACCGCCAATGCCACCGGGGCCTTGAAACTGGTTGGGGAATCGTATCCGTTTACGGGGGGTAGTTCCTACGTCTTGAGCGCCGACTCGCACAACAGCGTCCATGGCATCAGGCAATATGCGACATATCGCGGGGCAAAGACAGTTTACATACCCACGACACCGACTGGAGGCTTCGATGTCTCGGTAGCAAAGGTGCGCATGGTCTCAGATGACTACGTCTGTTGGTTTGATTTTGGTCTCAGAATGTGCTCCTCCGCTCCCGTCCACGTGCCAAGGCCACAGCCCCGAGTCTCTTCGCACTCACCGGCCAATCAAATATCACGAACACTAAAAACCCGCTGTCCATCATCGAATATGCAGCTTCGCAGGGCTATCACACCGTTTTGGACGCGGCCGCGCTGGCCGCTTCTTCGACGATATCGTTGGCCGATTGCCCTGTTGATGCCATGGCAGTTTCGTTCTACAAGATGTTCGGTTTTCCGACCGGGGTCGGGGCGTTAGTTGTCAAAAGGTCGTTTCTAGCGCAGTTGCAGCGTCCGTGGTTTGCGGGGGGGACGGTCAACGTTGTGCAGGTCCCTGGCAACATTGTGACGCGATCCATGCAGCTCCACGAGCAGTTCGAGGTCCGTCCATTAAGGATGTCTTGTCACCGAAACTCAGACCATGTTCGCAGGATGGCACCATCAACTTTTTGACACTTCCCGCCGTTACCGATGGACTGAGGTTTCTGTCCGCATATCTGCCTTTCCTGCCTCTTCGACTGTCGTGTCTTTTGAAGTATCTCGTGATATCACTGGGGAAACTACGGCACGAGACAGGGCTTCCTGTTGTTCGGATCCTTTCCGCGATTCCGTCACAACGTCTGAAGAACGTCGGCGAGCAATCGGATACGGGATCCATCATTTCCCTCATCTTTCTCGATGTGAGTGCAGATTCCCAATCATGTTTCAGCCGTATTTATCCATATCCGGCCAGCCCAACGGAGAGATGATGTCCAATTCGTTCGTGGAGTTCGCGGCCGCCAAGCTCAACATCTCTCTGCGCACTGGGTGTATGTGCAACTCTGGGGGTGCAGCTGCGCTGCTGGGGTTTCAGCCAACGATGGAGCTGATGTACGAAGGAATAACCGTGCAGGGCCTGGAGCAACTGGCAGGCATGGAGCTTGGTGTTGTTCGGATCAGTCTCGGCTTGGCGAGTAACTTCCAAGATGTCTGGACGGTGCTGCGATTCGCCCAGCTTCTTGCGGCCGAGAGAACGAGGTCGATATTATGGGATCATTATACGGATGCCACAGGCGTCGTCATCGGGGAGGCGATATAGCCACAGCCGCTGGGTCTCGGAAAGGGAAACGGAAAGGGAAACTGGAGGATTAAATCTGACTGTTCAGTTATCTCACGGGGGACCTTCTATCTCGCATCATGTATCATCTTATATGTTGTATCTTTACATTGTTGTCGGCACCGCAGAATATGCCACCACTACCCCATCAGACCCAGTGGTTCTTTTCCTGCTGGTCCGTCTGTTGAATGATGCATGATGGCCGCTGCCTTCCAAGTGAATGTCGCTTCCTCCCGGCAAAGATAAGGAATATGTATATTTATAAACGAGGTCCCCTCATCCTTTCCGTCTATGTTTAGATCACATCCGCTTGCAAGCGAATAAATAAGTATAAAAGATATATTGTTAACGAGTGAGGTTAGGGTTAGCGCGATTCAAAGTCCAAAAAAAAAAGGCCCGCCTAGCCGAGTGGCTGTGGCGGAACAGGAAAATATTGAGACGGTGCATGAGCCGAAGTACATACAAACCGCAGGCCCACTCTGAATGGACAGGGTCGCCGTGCTATGGAGTGTTCCCACGGCCCAAAAGCCCAGGTCCGTGAAGGAGCTTATGCCATCAAGGTAAGTATGCAGAACCAGATATTGTGCGTTGGATTTTATACGATTCGAAGCGCACGGACCAGAAGTTTTGCACGTGAATATCACGTGTTCTACACTCTGCGGTCCCATGCACGACCCTCATCAGTGCCGCCGGAGCTCAGGTGCTCAGGAAGACGTGCTGTGTTTGCACGTGGACGAACCCCCAAGCAGCTTGCCAAGATCCCATGGGCTTTGTTCTTAGCCGTCTTTCGGAAGGCGCCTTGTAGCCGGTTCCGGCAGCGCCTTCGACCACTCTTCGAGGGCTCCCTGGCCCTTGGGTGACTCAGCTGAATTCACAAGAAGCTGGATTAATAAGGCTCTCGGAGTCCCTGTACGCGCAAGCCAGTTGCCGAGGATAATCTCTGTTCCATCTGTGTATCGATGATCGTTTGACGTCACTTCCGAGACTCCGGACTGAGAGGTAGGGCCCGCGATATAAGAGGGGGGCGTCTCCTGCGTTTGCTTTTCATACTCGCATCCCACTCTGCATTACTGCCAATGTCTTTCTGGACGTCTCCTCCTCAGCCTGCCACCAAGCTCGGTGTCTACCGCACTCTCTCTGCGAAAGCTGGCGTGCATGTCTCGCCCCTGCAGCTCGGCGCGATGAGCGTTGGCGACCAGTGGGATAAGCTGGGCATGGGCTCCATGGACAAGGAATCCAGTTTCAAGCTCCTCGACGCGTATTTCGACGCCGGCGGAAACTTCATTGACACCGCGAACAACTAGTCCGTCGATCTGCTTGTCGCCCATAGATTGCACACCTGCTGACGCGTCTTGCAGTCAGGACGAGACTTCCGAGATGTTCATCGGCGAATGGGCTGAGAAGCGCGACATCCGGGACCAGCTGGTCATCGCTACCAAGGTAAGGCACTGCCAATTCGAGGCTTTTCGACGATGATATTAACTGGACCCAGTACACGAGCGGATTCAAAGCACGCCAGGACAAGTACGCGCAAAAGGTCAACTATGTCGGCAACAACATCAAGTCCATGAACATCAGCGTCGACGCCAGTCTCAAGAAGCTGCGCACGCACTACATCGACATCCTGTACCTGCACTGGTGGGACTGGGATACCAGCGTCGAGGAGGTCATGGACGGACTGCACAACCTCGTGGTGCAGGGCAAGGTCCTGTACCTCGGCGTTTCGGACACTCCCGCCTGGATCGTCGCGCAGGCCAACCAGTACGCTCGTGATCACGGAAAGTCGCCGTTCGTGATCTACCAGGGCGCGTGGAACGTGATGGCCCGCTCGTTCGAGCGCGAGATCATTCCCATGGCTCGTGCATACGGTACGCTCATCAGCTGTTATTCCCCGGACACCATGTGCTCACTTCCTCTCCAGGAATGGCTCTCGCTCCCTGGAACGTGCTGGCTGCCGGAAAATTGCGCACGGATGCTGAAGAAGAGGCCCGCCGCATCTCCGGAGAGAAGGGCCGCATGATATTCGGACCGGACTGGGAGCGGAACGCAGACGAAAAGAAGATGTCTGCCGCTTTGGAGAAGGTCGCCAAGGAAGTCGGAGCCAAACACATCACTTCGGGTACGCTCCGTTTCACGTCCTGTTCAGCTGGTCTCATCCTTGCTCCAGTCGCCATCGCCTACCTGATGCAGAAAGTTCCCTACGTGTTCCCCATCATCGGTGGTCGTAAAGTCGAGCATCTGTTGGCCAACGTCGAGGCTCTCGACGTGGTCCTGTCCCCGGAGCAGATCGCCTATCTGGAGAGCATTCTGCCATTCGACCCTGGATTCCCCAGCACCATGATTGTACGTTTACAAGGTTTACATCCGGAGCTTGCAGATATTGACAAGCTTCCAGGGCGATGGGCTGAAGCACAGCAACCTCATCGCATCCGTCGCTCATTTCGATCGCCTGCCTATCCCCCAGGCCATCCGCCATGGCAAGGAGTAGATATTCTACACCAAAACCCATACAAAACACAATGTATTCTTGCTATCGAACAAATGTCGCACATCACCGTGTCAAGATCGCTTCGATTTTGAGTTACGGCCAGGATTTGGTGACGGCCAGCCTGGTCAGGAATTTAGATGTGTGGACCGCCGGTACTGGACTCAAAATCCCTCTGCGGTCGTACCTGTCCCTCCACCGTTCAGTGCTTCCTTCAGCGCTGACTGGCAGTTCAGGTCGCAATTTAATCCCAATGGATTCGATCGCAGCTGAGAAAATTAGGATTCGGTTTCTACTGTGGTGTTCATCAAGGATGGCCCTGGGATTTTCTGCAGGACTGATGCACCAGCACACTTCGAAGCATATAAGTAGATGATGTTTGAACTCACGCCAGCAACCAGGAAATTAAAGCCTGACTTGGGTCGGTCTGGCCTCTTGACAAATGCTGGCTGAGCGCTTCAAGTAGCAAGTATGTAAAGGAAGTAGAAGATTGGGGTACAATCGAAACGCAGCCCCAAGTGTCGCATGACTTTATTTGTTTGTGAAGCGAGGAGCCATTGATGAACCAATCTATGATACACCAGAAAGCACCATAGTCCCGTTGAAGGTAATTGAGGAAATGTATGATGGGATTCGAAGATAGCTGATTTAGCGCCCAGATGTGACAAAGTTTGTCTCATCTCAACCAGAGATTATGTGATGGCACATGGATACTATAGACGAGTTCAAACGCGTACTATCACTGAATAGCAGAGGTCAAATTTTCGTTGGTATCATTAGATCCGAAAGAAGCTTCAAATCGCTTCGGATTCAAGCGTCTTCTTTCCAGAGTCTCTAATGTGCTGAGTGAAAGAGTCCCCCTATCCACGAGCAGATACACTGCCACTCATCTCTGGCATGTGATTCGGGCATGTGATTCCCCGCCTTCCCCGCGATCGGCGATGAATATCGGTCAACCTGAGCCGAAGGCAGCGCTACTCTTGCCAAACACCTTCACCTTCATCCCGCAATGCTTAGGACCGGAGCGCGAATTTTATCGACAGCTACTAGACGCCCGGCTGTGTCGACCGTCTCCAGGTGCTTGGGGTAGATCCGACGCGTATATACCACTCAACTGACGTTGCTAGGTCATTCGCGACGTCACGCTCTCTGCGCTCAGAGACGCCGACCGTGAACTCCCTGGACGTTTTCACTGATGAGGAGAACATGCTGCGCGAGTCCGGTATGTGCAGCACTCGGAATACTTGCCCAACGCGATGACTGAGTCCTTCCAGTGCAACGGTTTGCCACAGAGGTCGTCGGGCCTAAGGTCCGGGAGATGGACGAAAAGGAACAGATGGATCCCGCAATTATTAAGGGTCTCTTTGAACAAGGAGTGAGCTTTGCGGTTAGAATTGGAGCCATGCGTTCATTTACGTGCTCTAGCTCATGGGGATTGAAACCAGTGCCGACCACGGTGGAGCTGAATCGTCTTTCACGTCGGCTATCATCGCCATCGAGGAGCTGGCAAAGGTCGACCCGTCTGTCTCCGTCCTATGTGACGTGCACAATACACTTGTGAACACCATCTTCCGCAAGTACGCGACGAAAGAGCAGCAAGACAAGTGGCTACCGCTTTTGGCTGAAAACAAGGTCGGCCACGACTACTCTACGCTATCTGCTCTGACGACGTCCTTTCAGCTCGGCTCTTTTTGTCTCTCTGAGCCCGCATCGGGGTCAGATGCATTCGCGCTGCAGACCCGAGCGAAGAAAGACGGAGATTCTTGGGTAATCAATGGCTCGAAGATGTGGATCACGAACTCTTACGAGGCGGAGATCTTCCTTGTCTTTGCCAACGTGTGTTGCATCTTCTGCCGTTTCGCGGGAGTCTGACCAAGGATTGGATGCAGGTGGACCCTTCGCAAGGGTACAAGGGTATTACTTGCTTCGTTGCGACGAAAGACATGGGAGTCCAGATTGCAAAGAAGGAACAAAAGCTCGGGATTCGCGCGTCTTCAACTTGCACTCTGAACTTCGATGATATGAGGATACCCGCGGAGAACGTCATTGGTGGAGAGGGCAAAGGCTATAAGGTACAGCAAGCTAGTCATCCCCGGTGACGATAACACAACTGACCGACGAAACCTAGATCGCCATTGAGATCCTCAACGAAGGTCCGCAAAAATCTCTTCTCGTCTGCTCCCGGCTGAATTATCTCATCAGGCCGTATCGGAATCGCCGCTCAGATGCTTGGATTGGCTCAAGGAGCGTTCGACAAGGCTGTGCCGTACACGTATTCTCGGCAACAGTTTGGTCAGCCCATCGGAACCTTCCAGGGCATGGCATTCCAGATTGCACAAGCGGCTGTCGAGATCGAGAGCGCGCGACTTTTGACGTACAATGCCGCTCGAAGGAAAGAGGAGGGCAAGAGCTTTACCAAGGAAGCGGCCATGGCCAAATATTGGAGCAGTGTGGTTGCACAGCGTGTGGCTGGATCGGCGATTGAGTGGGCCGGCGGCGTTGGTTTCACGAGAGAGACAGGAATCGAGAAGTACTGGCGTGACTCAAAGATTGTGGGTGTTCACGCGTGTGTGTCGTTGCAGTGTTTTGACCGTCGCGTGCTTCAGGGTGCAATCTACGAGGGCACGTCCAACATCCAGCTCCAAACGATCGCGAAGTTCATACAAAAGGAGTACTCATAATTGCACTGAGAATGTTCTGGGCTGCGCGGTCGTTTTACATATGTAGTTGAATGGATCGTAGCGGAGAGGTTAACAAAAGTGCTGTATGCACCTGTTTGTTCGGCCTCTGCATCCCTCCCAATTTTCCCTTTGACCCACCCACGACCCATGGCCACTGAACGTGCACCTCCCGCCGCCGTCCAACGGGTGAACACCCAAACAAAAGTACTCGATACTAACCATGGCCGCATTCTCTGCATCGCCGACATTCGTGGACGCCTTTCCGCACTGAATGACCTGGCCAGAGACGCGAATGCTCACGCCATAATCCACACGGGGGACTTTGGTTTCTTCGAATCCTCCTCTCTAGAGCGAATCAACGACCGTACCCTGAGGCATCTGACTATGTACTCCCCGCTAATTCCGACTGCTCAACGGACGCATTTGCTGTCTCCCGACAATCCACCAGCCGCCATCCGCTCCACCGTGGATATCTCCCTGCTTTCCGAATTCCCTCTGCTTCTGTCTGGCCAAATTAAACTTAAAGTGCCCGTCTTCACGGTGTGGGGTGCATGCGAGGACGTGCTGGTCATCGAGAAGTTTCGTTCTGGCGCCTACTCGATCGAGAACCTACACGTCCTCGATGAGGCGACCACGCGCTGCTTGGATCTCGGAGGCGTGAAGCTGCGGTTGCTGGGTCTCGGAGGTGCTTTGGTGCCGCACAAAATGTTCGACAACGGAGACGGGAACGCGACTATTGCGGGCGGTCAGGGAACCATGTGGACCACAGCCCTGCAGATCGGGGAGCTCGTGGACACGGCTCAGCGTGTCTTTGATCCAACGGAAACGCGTATGCTGGTCACCCACGCCAGCCCCGGACGCGAAGGCATCATGGCCCAACTGGCGCTCGTGACCAAGGCTGACTTGACCCTCTCGGCTGGCCTGCATTTCCGCTACGCAACCTCTTACAACGAGTTCAGCGTCCAGAGTGGCTTTGATGGGTTTCGCGAGAAGCTGGTTTCGGGGAAGGAGAGCTTTGACAAAGTGTGGGACAGTGTGAAGCTGCAGGTGGATGCGGTGATCGACGAGAACCAACGCGTGCTTCTGAATAAGGCGTTGAGTGTGGTCGAGCGGATTCCAAAATCTGGGGGAGATGAGGACCCGGCATGGAAGAACTGCTGGAACTGGAACTTGTGCGATGCCGCGTATGGTTCCCTCGTCTTGGACGTGAAGGAAGGTCGTATCAGCGGAGAGCTTAAGAGTCAAGGTGTGTGGGCTGATCTCGCCTGCTTCTCGGTCAATTCATTCCGTCAGGCTTCAATTACGCCTACCGACGCACGGCAACTGTCACTCAGACGCCCAACTCGGCCTCCCCGAGCCTCCCCAACCCCTCCAAATCATCCACGCCTGCTCCCGATCACGCGGTGCCTCCCCACCTCGCTGCTGCAGAGGCTTCCAAGGACAGCTCTTCACCGTCAACTCCCGTCTCCGTCAACGCCAAACCCAACGGTGTTGCCGCTGCTGACAAAGCAGAGCGGGAAAAGCAGAAGAACAAGGAAAAGAAGGAGAGGAAAGCTAAGGAAAAGGCCGAAAGAGTGGAGAAGGAGAAGGCTGAGAAAGAGGCCGCCGCTGCTAATGCTACACCTGAACCCTCTGGATCAACCGCCCCAGCACCTGTGCCCGAAATTTCCGCCATCAAGTCCCCTCAAACTGATGTTGAAGACCTCAAATCGCCCACCGATGGCGCACGGACCCCGAAAACGGGACGCCCAGCTCGCAACCCTTGGACAATCTTTATGAGGTGGCCGACGTCCGTGTCGGTAACAGAAGCAGAGATGAAAGACTTCTTCGGGGATGCGAAGAGCGGGGTGGGTTTGCGTGTTTTGTTCCCTATCTCGAGTGCTGATGATCGCAGATTACGAAAGTAGCGATGCCCACTCCCTTTGCCAACAGGCCTCAGCGTCTTGCATATGTCGAGTTTGGCGACGAAGAAGCCATGCGTGCCGGACTAGAGAACCATCTTCCGGTGCGTGGTGCTCAATCATTCCAGATGCCGCGATCTGACATGTCTGCAGAAACTAAAGGATGTCGTGCCTGAGGTGAAGCAAGCCACAGAGCGCGAGCCACGGAACGAACCAGCCCACCGAGGCGGTCCCTCCCGTGGCCGAGGTGGCCGGGGTTCTGGTGGATTCGCAGCCCGAGGGTTTGCTGCTGCGGGCCTGACTCGCGGCACGCCACGAGGTCAAGGGGATTCCGCGCCGCCAACACCCGCTGCTTCCTGAGATGTGGTCTGGTCGGTGAAGAACGACGGCGGATATGAAGCTATGATTATGCGTGGGGAGGACACTGTCCTAGCAGCGGCTGGGGGTGCAGACCGGCGCCACTGGGACGGATATTCGGGGATATTCAATCCATGCTCATGCTTTGGTTGTTCTGATTTCTCGGTGCTGACGGCGGCGGTGGAGTTTCGTTGCCTGGTATGGTAGTGCTTTGTTACTTTTCGTACTTGCGTTTCTTCAATGCTCGTTTTTCTCTATCTTGTTGCGGAACAATCTTGTCTAATTCTCTGGCCTACCTTATTCCATGATCTTCTATGATAAAGCTTTATTATGACCGTGCACTGATGTTCCTGAGAATGTTAACGATCGAGACTACCGCAATGAATGTCTACGAGTGTATGGTTTGGTATTCGATCTTTGTTACTGGACCATCTCATGCAGACTGCGTGGCAGACACTGAGTCCAGAACTTCTCGATCTCATCGTCCAACACCATATCGACGATCATCCCAGCCTCTATACTGCCAGCCTTGTCTGCAGAAACTGGAATCAGGCGACAAGATACCATATCTTTGGACGAGTCAGACTTCCATTGGGTCGCTGCGAGCGCCTGAAGACATTCATTGCCCTCGTGCGTCATCCAAAATGCACCTTCGCTGCGCACAACGGTGTTAAAAGCGCTATACGCGAACTTTCGCTTGTCCCGCCCAATCTTGACGGTGGAGAAATCACAGCTGGAATGCGCGGAGAGTTAGAAGAGTTGGCGCGACTGGCTGGCGCGCGCAGCTTGACTATCTACTATCCACGGCTCATGCCGGCCATCTGCCTGGCGGTGCTCACCGGCGCTTTTCAAGGGATACAGAAACTCGCTTTCAAGATACGTTTCTCGACTCTGGCAGACGGCATCCGATTCGCGTGCTCCTTCGATGGTTTGGAGGAACTCGGTTTCGACGCGGTGCGGGCTGCTGTCGGTGAATATCCTGGCGAGGACCTCGTCATGCCTCAGGGCTTGAAAAAACTCACACTCTGCTCCCTGCGTGGTCATGAAGTTTGGTTCGCCGATAAGCGTGTCGCAAGCCTCACTGAACTTGCACTACACAATATACATCCAATCAAGGATGCTGGAAGATTAGACTTGATCCTCGCTACACTCGGCGCCCAGCTGAAGAGTCTCACGATCATTTTCGCTGCGCAGAAAGGTATGTTGATACAAGATCGGAGGAGTCTTACGCCATGTGCTTACAACGACAGGCGATTTGGAAATCCAGACCGACTTGAGCCCACTGACAACTCTCCGGTATCTCGAATTGGACGTGTCGTCTATTAGTAGAAAGTCCGTCCTGCAGGCGTTGCTCAAGCTGCCAACACCCGTCACTCATCTCGAGTCTCTCACTTGGTGCGCTCGCCGTTCTTCCTTCGAAGGACTTTCAGCCGAGCACTGGACGAGTCTGGATGATTTATTGGCGAACGGGACTGCTTTTCCCGCGCTGCAGAAGATCGATGTCACTGCCTCCACTGGAGGCAAATACGATGTAACAGAGAGGCTGAATAAATGCGCGGCCAGAAAGATACTGTCCCAGTGAATGATTGTTGGAGATTACTACACTATATGTACTCTTCGAATGGATGAACGGTCACTGGTTCTTCTTGGCCGCAGCGTCGAAGCTCTTCGGGGTGCTGGTCTGGACTGAGCTTTGGATACTTGCTAGCGCGCTGAAGCCAGCCATAAAGATCGGCACGAGAACGAAGAATGCGACGAAGAGCGTGACAATGAGGCCAGGAGTAAGAAGCTGGTAGCGCGCCAAAACGCCACCCTTCGTCTTGGGCTTCGCAGACGGCGCTTGGATGACACTACCGAGAACGGTGTCCGCACGCTTCGCAAGGGAGGACGGGGAGGAAGAGGTGTAGATCACGAGGTGGTTGGGGAACGTCTTGGCAAGGAGTGCGAGTTCGGCAGAAAGCAAAGAATCTACGACTGATGAGTGCACGCAGTCAAATACCAACCATTGACGTACCGTGCTTGAGCATCGCTTCGGCACGCTCATCCGCAAGGCCATTCAATAGAGGAAAGCTGAGCGAGACAACGTGTTTCTCGTTGGAGAACGAAACACCGCCATGACCGGGAGAGTACGAAACGATACGCGACTGGCATCTGGTCGCGGTGGATTCCAGCAGGGAAGAGAAGTCCAAGCCCGTTGATAATACATAAGGGAACTGCCTCGATGAGGGAGCAGATGAGAGGGATCGTGAGAGGTGTGCGTGCGAAGGAAGGACGCGCAGGTCAGAGGCGTGCAACTACGGAATATTAGTTGATACAGGAGAAGGAAGAGAAACTACACACGTCAGGCTGATCTACGAGCACCACGGCATCGTGACCACAGACGTCTTCATTTGACAGGATAGAGTCCAAGACAGAGTGCGAGTGGGGCAGTTTGGAAGGAATAGAGTCCAAAGCATTCGAGCTAAATGAGCATGATCGCTAGGCAAGATGAACGAAAGCTGGCGATTGAGTACGTACCTGTAGGAGGACCAGGAAACCACTGGTGTTGTACTCGAGAATCCAAGTGCCAAGGAGACGAGCGCAGCGACAGTAAGGGTGCGAAGAGACATGGCTGCTGGACGAAAGCGTAATGTAGCAAATACCGGTCAACACTTCGGATATTGCCGATCTTACTTTCCCAAAATCTTTGACCTCCGCGTCTGTCAAGTGCATTTGAGCACCAGCCTGTGTGCGGATCCATCTCAAATCCGCCTCCTCAAATGAGTCTCTCTTTCCTTCTGAGCTCAAGCAACAAGATCGACACTGAGCTCGATTCTCTATTCAAGTCGAATGTGCGCCACATCCTTTTCTGTTGACGCGGTCTCCCATACAATTGTTACCTGTAGACCACCACTCCTTCCCGGAAGCCTGGTGTCGCAATCTCCGTTCCTAAGCCAGGATCAGCCCCTCCCTCAACAAAGAAGCGAAAACTCGAAACTGGCATCCCGGCGGAAAATCATGGCAAGCGGGTAAAAGCAGACAAACGAGCCAAGCCCTCGAAAACCGAAACGCTTCCCGAAATCACGGGCAAAGGGAAGGATATCCGAAAGCCTCACAGCTCATCTGCGGCTTCAAAATCAAAAGGCAAGCGACGCGCAGAAACGGAGGTTATGGATGTCGACGAGGAAGCAGAAGCAGGAGCGGACGAAAGTGATCCTGATGAGGACAACTCAGATCTCGAGAATGCCTATATCCAGAGACAGGACAAGAGGCTCAAGCCGAAGGGTGCAGAAGACAATGATGACTCTGCTGAGGAAGATGAGGAGGACGCAGACGAGGAGCAAGGTTCGGAAGACGATGGCGAGGATTCGGATTCGGACTCGAACGCCCCTCCGCCCCAGCACGAGTCCATCACAAACCCTAAACGCAGAGAGCGGGAGAAACCCACGAAGAAAGTCAAGCTAGTTCCGAAAGACGAAACTCGCAAGGAGCGAGATTCGCGCACTCTCTTTGTGGGTGGACTACCTATTGATGTCGTTAGTAAAAAGGCAAGGTCTTGAACTTGAAGGACCGGACATCTTACTTACTATGATCATCATGCAGCCACTCCAGAAACAACTATCGCATCATCTCCTTTCGTTCTTACCTCCTGGCTCCAAAGTTTCTGTCGAATCGCTGCGCTTTCGATCTGTGGCTTTCAAGGAACGCACAAGCTCGGCGAAGCCCACTCAGTCTACGAGCGCATCGGATGCACCCAACCACGCGCAGGCACGGATTTCCGCTTGGCGCAAAGACAACGGCAAGGAAGGCGATGACGAAAAACAGTTTCTAACGCCGGCTCAAAAGAAGAAGATATTCTTCATCCAGGGAGCGTTCCACCCCGAAGCCCAGAGCGTCAACGGATATGTGGTTCTAGCCCATCACAAAGCGTCTTTCGCAGCCTACGGAGAGACTGACGAGGCGAAGACTACGGAAGACACGCCGTACAAAGTTGCTGCACAGATCGCTCTAGCAGCAAATCTCAAACCGTTTCTCGAACGAGACCTGCGAGTAGACGTGTGCTCGAAACTCGATGCTGCCGACGGTTCCAGCACTGCAACGGGTGATCCAAAACGCAGCATCTTCGTCGGCAACCTCGAATTCGGATCCAAGGAAAGTGATCTCCGGGAGTTCTTCGAAGGCGTCGTCGCGGGGGAACGAGGCCCAGCTTCAGAGGAGGACGGTAGCTGGGTTCAGGGTGTCAGGCTCATCCGAGATCCTGAAACTCAATTGGGCAAAGGTTTCGGCTATGTGTGGTTCTCGGTAAGCGGTGACTGCTCCCTTCTGCGATTCTCAGGTCTGATCACGGTGCATAACAGGACCGAGAATGCGTAGATGAGATCCTTTCGCTCGGAAAGACGGACGAAGGAACCAAGAAACTGCGCTTTGCAAAACGTGCACTTCGCGTTCAGCGTTGCCGAACGATAGGAGGAACGAACAAGGCTGCAGCACCCAGCTCCGGTTCCAGTTCGGCAAAAACCAAGTCGACGTATCCAGTCCATCACGGTGACCCCAATCTGGGAGAACGCATCGTTCATCTCGACAAAGAGGCGCGCAAGGCTGCGAAGAAAGCTGATCCTCAACGTACACAGCGGAGAGCCGAGAAAAAGCTAAGGATGGGCATGAACTCAAAGCTGAAGGCGGAAAAGGGGAAGGTGGGGGGCAGACCTCAAGGGAAGGACGACAAGGGCAAGCACCGGGAGAGGGTGAGAAAGCCACAGAAACAAGCAGGCAAGGCAAAGAGAGGAGCGAAATAAGTAGTTCTGGCGCCAATCATTATGAAAGTCCGGGAGTGCAGATTGACTGATGCGGGCTACTGTGAACGTCAGTCCCTATCATGACGCTTGGTGTGAAGAAAGAAAGTTCCATCGAAGCAGCATGACAAGCAGACTGCCCTCGATCTAACGCGCAGGTCTCGCTCACACCCCCGATTTCACGTCCACATTCCATATCTCAGGACCACTACATCACACCACTTTGAGCAATTTTTTGAAGACGGTGTCAGTTTTTAAGGAGCAACAGAGCGTGAGTTTTAGGCGAGAGTTGCGCGCACCAAACGTCAGACCTTGCAGTGAAGTGAACAGGCGAGTACAATCCAACAAAAATGACTCAGAGCAATTCGAGTACGATAATAGCAGCAACTCGTTTCGATCGAGTGACCTCGGGGTTATGGGCCCCGCGCGCTCCCAGACTGCGCCATGCTGCTGATCTGAACGTTCCCAATACGTGGATATGATGAATCTGTCGAGAATTGCATAATTCGAATCTACAAGATAGATACATAGACCATCCTCTCTCATTGACTGTCAAACACATCAATCGGAGACTACTCGGACATCCCTTCAAACTTCTGTGTCTCATCAACACCTTTCAACCAGCTCACCCGATCCTTCGTAAACTGCTCGATCTGCGGCCGCAGCTTCGTCTCGTGCAAGCTGAAGTCATCCACCGTCCCGATCCTCAGGATGCTGTACCCCGGCCACGCCGATCCGACGCGGTACATCAGCGACCCACACGTCGCGCAGAAGTAGTTCGTCATCGTGTTGCCCTGGCGCGCCATGGTGCGGCCCTGCGCGTACGTCGTGAGGTTTTCGCGGCCGCGGATGTGCGTCAGGTGCGTGTCCGCGACGGTGAAGTTGGACGCGAACATGGACGCGGTGATCTTGCGGCAGTCGGTGCAGTTGCACACGAACGTGTTGACGAGCCCAGGGCCTTCGGTCGGCTGCGGAGGTTGCGTTGTTAGTCGAGAAAAGCGCGTCTGTGGAGGGACTGGGCTTACGAATGCAAGTTGGACGGCACCGCAAAAACAGGTCGCCGTCGCCTTCCCGTCTTTCGTCCAGCCGTCTCCGGTGGCGTTGGCAAGTGGGAAATATGAGCTGGGTTTCTCGATTGTGTCAGACATGGTTCTCAGATTTGTAGAAGCTGGGAGCTTTAATGCAGTCTACCCCTCGAGTACCGACTTTTTATCGACGCGCGCTCCCCACTCGATGACTCACCCAGTCCGGGCTTCGAACAAAGATCGCCGTGATTCGCAGGCGTCCGAATGCTGCCCAAGCACAGCCGGGTGGCCGATGTGCAAGCACACTCCAGTGTTGATAATGGTATCATTCATTGGTAATCCTTGACCGATAAAGATAGAATGAAGGGAAAAGATGTCTAGGAGTGGTAAATATCATGCTACTGTCAGCAATGTTGGAACCGGAACGTCGTCAGACTGCCAGGGGCCAGCAACATGCTCCAACGATCTTCGACATCCAGCTCAGCTGCGCCCATGATCAGAGCAAAGTCCTCATCCGCTGAAGTCCGATACGCCACAGTGCTGCACAAATCATGCGGGAAGGACAATCGGAGATCCACGGATGTCGAGCCAGGGTTCATCGCTAGGACAGAATACCCAGACGTCGCGGGTTCGTACACGACCAGAACACGATGCGCCCATTTAGCACTTACTCCAGCGATCGATCGCCGCTGTGTCCCAGCTGCGAGTAAATGTGAGATACAGAACGAGTCAGTCGTGAGCGTGAGCGTTTACGTTTGACAAAGTTCCCAAAGTGCTTATACGTCCAGAAGTGTTTCGTAAGGTCTGGGCAGAGATTGATCGTGAGGGTTGCTTCGGCTGGACCATAGTACAAGAGAAAACATACAGAGCTCGTAGTTGCCATTCGTTGCATAGTCGGGATCGTAATAAATCAGACCGTCCTGACCACATAATCAGCTGAAGTTAAAACAAAATAGAAGTGACCCACCGTCCAGCCATCCGCATTTCCCGTCGTCACGCATTCAGGATCGGAGAGCGGGGAACAGCCGATCCCTAAGAGTGATTTCAGCCTAGCGCGACAGGTCAAGACCTATAACACGAACCTCCAGAAACGAGTGTCCAGAACTGGTGCGGGTCAGTTGGGAAGCACAAGACATCGAGATGTGCCGCACATCGTATTGGGGTTGCTCAGCTATGATCAGACTCTATGAGCTTGGGCTTGAGAATCAGTCCCTCATGGAGAGCATGCAGTCAAGCGCACCTGGAACATCATCGTCGTCCACATCAGAGCGTTCTTGATTGTCGGGTCAAACCCTCCAGACCATCCTCGACCCGTGCCATCCGCCTCACCCAGCGAGCAGCAGATTTCCTTGCAGCGCGTCAGGCGGTTACAGCCAAACAAGCGACAGGAATCCTGACCGACATCCAAAGCGGTTTATCAGGATAAGTCGCCCGGGTGTGGTTGACAAACTCCAAATACACTTCATCCGATGGGAAGTCATAAGTATGGTGGACAAGAGCTGCGACCTGGCGTATTCATCAGCTTGCACGGTTGGCGCACATGCGCATGTGTGTACTTTGCCGATGACTTGAGGCAGCCAGATGGGATACTCCGTCTCAGAGCGCACCAAGGTAGCCGATTCGTCTGCGATGATTCCGACCAAGGCAGCCAGCCCCCGGGCATCGAGTGCGTCGTACAAGGTGCTGATCATCTCGGCTCGTCTTTGGATTTGTTCAAGACATTCCTGCATTGGATAGAGGAGTTCCTCACTGGTTGGCGTCAACCCGCATACCCTCTTGGCCGCACGGAGCGGGCCCAAAGTCGTTGTCCGGCTCGTTCATCGGCGAGACAAAGTTGATGGGGATGCCGTCTTCTCTCCAGTGAACAATCACATCCGCGAGGAACGCAGCGAATTCAGCGCCGGTGCCTTGAGTTTCGGATGGATGCCATGAATAACGCGCCAGCGCCCTAATCACAACGGCCACACACCATTAACAAACGCGCCACCGCAACTTCCGCCCGTCGACGTCAACGGCGCCGGCGCACTATTCACGAACGCCGTCAGGGACGGCACGCCGTGCTCCGCGGCCTTGCGCAAGAAATATACCCCCTGCCTGTCCGCGCTCCAGTCGTAGCGCCCCGCACCGTCCCCCGCGCCGACACGGTAGAACGTCTCGATCGCACGCGTCGGGTTGTCCACGTCCACGCCGCCGCTGCCGACGTTCCATCGGTAGTTCGTCAGGCCCAGTCCGTCGGGGGAGAAGAGGAGCGCGGAGAGGTTCTGGCGGACGGGCTCGGGGAAGTTGTACAGGTCGTACGGCCACCATGCGCCTGAGCCGCCGATGCCGAGAAACGTTTGGGAAGAGCTTTGCGACACCGTGGCGCTGACTTCGATCGCCTGGTCGTGGAGGTATCCGTTTCCGCCACCTGGTGAGAGGCGGAAAAGAAGAGGTGTGGATAAGAGCCCGACGCGTTTGAGAGTGCGGAGGAGCCCTGAGAGCGAGGACTGAAGAGATTTGAGGTCCATGAGACGAGGGACGTTGTCAGCGACGCGCTCCAAAGTCATTGTAGGAGCGAGCAACACTCTGCGGAGGCGGGGATCCGCCCCGGTGATGTGTGCATTGATTCGAGATAAGCCTTATCTGTCGGAATGACAGGTTGGTGAACGACTGGGAGTCGATTCTCGAATCCTGTGTTGACCGCGTCGACAATCGTGAAGCGAGAAAGAGACGCGGTGGCGGCGTCAGTTCGAGTCGTCTTGAGATCACCTGATCCTGTCCGAGTTGCCAGGGTTCGAGAAGGGGTTTGTTTACGCGCGAGGAGTCTGTTGGAATGTATGCAAGGTCTACAGCTACGATGGAGAACATGATTCGATTCTGCAAGTGGTAGCACTTGGTTAACGTTCGGTAGCGGCGGACGTTGCGAGACATTGATGTCCTCAACCCACTATCTGCTCCTGACATCCCAGTCGACGTCGATGCACTGAGCCCAGGAGACTAATTGTACGTAAGCGCATTGCATAGATGTTACACATGTATATCTACTTACAACATACGAAAGCAAAAAAGGCCGTCAGTACAGATCAGAACATGACCGTGAAATTGCTGGGGAAGACCGACTTCCCGGGGACCCGCCTTGCGTCGTCCAGCAGCTCCCCGTGCCACCAGCCGTCCTCCGGCGTCTCCGTCACAGCGATGATATCGCCCTCCTGGAAATCGAACTCCTCCTCGATCGTGGCCCGGTAGTCAAACAAAGCCCGGACGTAGAACTGGATCCATTTTCCGTCCGACGTCCGCTGCCTGCCTGCGGGGGAGGGCGTGCGTTGCTGCTGGATCGGAGGGACTCGCACGAGTTGCTGCTGCTGCGGCTGCGGGGGTGGCGCCTGGATTTGCTGCTGCTGCTGTTGGGGAGGAGGCTGGTGATTTGCACGAACGAGCTGCTGCCGTGGATCCGCGTAATAGTTGTTTGTCGAAGGACCGCGCTGCAGTCCCTGGCCGTTGTATACCGGCTGCTGCTGCTGCTGCAACTGCTGATACGGTTGCTGTTGCTGTTGCTGCTGGTACGCATTCGAAGCAAACGACTGCTGGGATGGTGCAAAGCCCGAAAGCTGCTGCTGGTGTTGCTGCGGTGGGGGCTGTTGGTAGGAGTTGTAAGCCTGCTGGATCGGCGGCGGGGGAGGTGCTGTGATTGCCGCTGGCCCCATATAACTCAGGCGGCGTTGTGGACCGGTCAGTTGCGGCTGCTGCGGCTGCTGCTGCTGGGGTTGCTGATGCTGAGAGATCGGTGCAAACCCGCTGGACTGCATGCTCTGACGTTGCCTCGGCTGGGGCGACGGCTGGCGTGCCTGGATCTGCTGTTGATGGTGGTACCGCATGGCCATATCGTCGTGTGTGACCCTCCCCGTCGAGTCAATAGCAATCCCCACAGGATTGGGACTCGTCGAGCCTTGTCGGTTGATGCTGCTGCCCGGGGCAACGAGACTCTGACGATACGCCGGCCCGGGACTCGGCGCCCGGTTCACCGGCACCATTGCCATCGCCAGCCCAGGACTCGGCGTTCGCGCGGGTCCCATCGCCATTGGCTGCGGGCTGCTGCTCCTCGACATAGAGCCGACCCCGGCGAAGCCCGTGCTCGGCGGTCGCCCCAAATTGTGCCCAGCGCTCATCTGCGAGCTCTGGCTCGGGTTCGACATGTGCCCGGGCCCGACGTAGCTGCTCCTGCGGCTGTTCGAGCGGCTGACACTCTTCCGTTCGCCGGGGAGAGACTGGTGGTAGTCACTCAGCACGTCGGTGATCATCTCCGCGCCGGGTGGCACGGTCGACGATGGTCGCATGAATGCTGCCGTGATTGGCGCCGGATTCGGCGAGGCGGGCCGCGAGGCAGCAGGATGCGACCCTACGACTGAATCAGCCGACTGCTGGTAGTCGCGTCCGGGCCCTGGCGACGGGGACCGAGAAATCTGGTGCATCGGCGGCAATATCGACCCCGGCCCCATGGAACTCGGTCGAGGAGCAAGCGCCTGTTGTTGCTGAACAGGCTGCGATGTGGGGTGGGACATGTCGACCGTCGTCCTGCGCGTGCTTTTCCTCCGAACCGTCGCTGCAGCCAGCTGCAGATCCTCCATCTGCTTCGCCAGTGGATCAAACCCACTCGGAGTAGCACTGGCCCGTGACGGCCCAGGCTGTGAGGGATCCTTGTGCGCATCCACCCGGTACGCATTCTCCCCAATCCGCATGTACGTCTCCTCTGCGGGGGGATCCTCACGTGGTGGCGCAACCCGATGCGGAGAAGGCTTCGACGCGGTAGTTGTGGCACGCGAGAGCGAGCCGTTCACATAATTGGTCGGCGACTGCTGGGAGGACGGCGTGAGGTGGTTCGCCGCCATCATCATGCTGGCTCTGTCGTTGTGTTCCGTTGCCGCATGTGGTTGGGGCTGATGGACCTGCCCGGCAGAAATCCCCGACGATGATCCCGCAGCAGCATAAGGTGCAGGTGAAGACTGTGTGCCCGTCGTAGCTGGCGTCACACCACCGGCACCAGCACCGCGACCTGCGATGTTTGTTGTGACGATCTCCGCAGGGTCAGGCTGGGGGGCGGGCTGAGACGCATAGTCCTCTGTCGGAACTCGCTGCGTCGAGCGTTCAAAGCTGGCTATCCGGAAGGTATGACGGGCGGACGCTGATGGAATGGCATTGGGATCCGTGAAGTTAACGAAGATGGGCGGATCCGGTATCTGATTCCCTGTCCCATAATTTCGCACAAAGTTCTCCTGATCTTTTTCTGGTTCCATCTCTTCCAGAGTGAGTCGTATATGCTCACAAGACTACAAATGGGTCAGGGGGTGGCTTCCGGAGGATGCCGTCACTCACCTCATCATCAAGCACGCAGACCGAGGAAACTGCGTTCGCGTATGCCCACATGTTGTTCTTCGTGAATTCCAGCCGGTCATCTTCCAGATCCTGGCAGCTATCGCAGAATGTCCTCCAAGCTGATTCCCATTTCCCCACCGTCTCCCCCAGCGCCCTCGTGAAGTTGGCGAAGTCCCGTTCATTCTGCGCAACCGTCTGTTGCGCCCTTTCGAGCTTCAGGTGTATCCGCTCTGCATCTTTGCCCTGCACCAGTCCCAGCTGCGCTGTGTATGAGTTGATCCGCAGGCAGTCGTTCTCGTATTTGTCGCGCGCTTTGATCACGTAGCCCTCCTGTGTCTGCTTGGCCTTGAATTCCTTTTCGACAGCTCCCTGGTACAATTTCTTATGGTGCTGCTGCTTAGCTACGAAGGTCGCAGTCAGCCCTTCCAGACTGTTTCGAATTTGATGCGCGAGGTTGAGATGTGCCCCTGCTTGTTTCTCGGTCTCGGTCTTGATAGTGTCCAATGAGTTGCGTAAGTCTCTACGAGGAGTCCGTTAGTGGGCCTTTTGAAGTTGGAGCCGCTGACATGAGTCAGGGGAGTGTTGCGCATGCGTGTTTCGGCCTCGGTGGTCCGGACAAAGCACACCGCACGAGACCCATCTCAAGCAAAAAACCGCTCACCCGATCTCATCCCGTCCCAGTGGCACCTTGGCAAGCTTTCCCAGCCTCTTCGCGTACTCTTCCTCCACAACAGCCCTGTCCGAAGAGAGCTACCAGTCAGATCGGATGGTATACACACATGCACGCGCGCGGCGGCGAACCTTTCTTTCCAGAAGCTCCTTAGCTCCTCCATCGTCCGTGCCGCGCCGCGCATCCGCGCGAACAGCACATCCACCCCGCCATCGCCCATGCCCCAGAAGGCGTTGCAGTAGTCTGTCGTGCGGTCCATGAGCGCGGGATCGGCGCCCCGCGCGAACTTGGAGAGCGAAGTGCTGGATGCCTGCCGGCGTGCAGACATCGTATATAGTAATGTGAAGGGAGGTGAGGGTGTGGTGTGTGGTGAAAGGAAGGCGGAGGTGAACGAGCACGTGCCCGGGTTGCCGAGCCGATCGGTGCACTGCCACCTCGTCATAAGTTCTCTGTTTCGGGACTGTTTCGTCTCTTGTTGTTTACGATCGCGCGAGACCGAGGTTCCTGGTGATGTTGCAAGAGCTTGAGGCTAAACTTACCGAAGATAGCATGGGTCGTCTGCCTAGTCGAATTGGGAAAAATTTCCGGGCGTCAGGGCTCGTTTTTGGACATCTTACCATAGTAAGTATTGCTGGAAGCCATGTGTTCCAAACTCCACAAGAGAATGTAAAACCCGCGTATAATTTGTGCATTTCACCCGTTGCGATAGAGCCTGATTGCGACAAATGGAAGTGACCTATTGAACGTAGAGCTCAATGATTGGTGAAAATCATGTACCTTGGATAGAAAGTCCACAACCTCGCAACATAACCAACATGCCAACTGATGAGTCAGGAAAAAAAGGCTAGCACAACCAGTCTTTTCCTCGATCGATTCTCAAATGGCAGAAATGTGTTGTGACATCAAGGCTCATTTCCATTGGATTGGCCCATGAACAATCGAGTGCACGTGCAGAACATTCCCTTTGCTACGCATCAAAGAGACTGCCCGATAGGGAGCACAGGAGTCCCTGCCTGTTTGAGATCAGTTGCACAGCCATACGGCATCAGCACACGCACCACTCTCGGCTTCCGGATCCAGCACCACAAAATGATGTGTGCGCAGCCATCCCAACTCCACCTCGTCTCTTACCACCAGCACACTTTGGTCGGAGAGAACCAGGATGCAAGCAGCATCTCATGGGGCGCGGGCGTTAGCCCATAAGCCCCCGAATATCGGTCATGCGACCAGAAACATCCACATTCCAGCCGCTATCAGGCCTCGCGCGCCAACTCTAGGCCAGAAGCTTTTGTCCCACACTCGCTGGGCACTCAATCGATTCGTCACTCATCTCACCACGCCCGGTATCGGATCGACGCCGAGTGTTTCCGTGACTCGTGCCTACCATGCTGCGAACCCCACCATCCAACAACGTCTGTCCTTCGGCGCACGGAATGCACTCTCACGGCCCTTGCGCCCCCAATTCCTGCCCCGTGGTCCGGTAGTCCCACGCACCATGACCCAAGTCGGTCTGGGTACCGCCCGCAACTTTACCACCGGCCGGCCCATCTTCCAGCAATTGGCTGAGAACGTCCCGATCGCCGGTCGGGCATTCTACGAAGCGGACTGGGATTTGGAGATGCACCAGGAGAAGGAGCGTATGCGCCGCCCCACGAAGAAAGCCGGCTCTTCGACAGCGAAGAAGGGCAAGGAGATGATGAAGCCCAAGGCTGCTAAGCCCGTCGTTGCCAAGGTCGCTGAGCAGGACGAGCTCGAGCACTACTTCGCTTCTCCCTCCGTTCCGGACGTCACTACCTTCCTCCTCGTCCCCTGGCGCCTACTCCCACCGACCGCGTTCCGCTCCCGGAATTCCCCGTCTCGACCTCGTCGACGGGACGGCTGTCACTGCCTTCCCTGCTTGACATCCACGACAAGCACGAAACGCACGGCCTCCGCGTCTCAGCGCTCTTCCGCCGGCTCGATGCAGCACAAGTTTGGTCCCGCGGTGCCGTCTCCTCGGCCTATTCAAACCCCACACACGATGGCGTTTGCACTGTGCTCCGCGTGACGTTCCACGGATGGAGCATGGCGGCTGTGCGCGGTGTCATTGGGGAGTGTGGCACAGGGTGGTGTGTCATGGAGGAGGAATATGGAAGTGCGTCGCAGGGCGAGGATAGCTTTTCGGACACTTCGTCTGTGCTTTCCGGTATGGCCAGTGGACTGTCGTCCCCTCCGGCAGTCGATTCAGACCCGGCCCAATCGCTTATTCTCCCCACTCTCGACTTCTCCGCGTCGTTCATGGCATCCAATGCCTGGGCATCCGAATCTCGAGCTTCTCCTCCCAGCTTTGGTCGATTGGACTCGGGTGTCTGGTCCGATGCTGGCTCTGACATCTCAGCCCACACTGATTTTGCATTTGTCGACCCACCCTCCGAGAATGGATGGTTCGAAGGCCACATGTCTGAGACTGAGGACGCTTTTGGCAGTGCAGATCCATGGCTGGACAGTGAGAGCGAATCGCTCTCGACGCCCAATTCGGTGCTCGGTCTGAGTTTCAGCTCTGCATTCAGCAATCGCCTGGCAGAGTCCAGTGTCTCTACTTGATCCCGGAATCTTTGACCTGTAGAATAGCTTTGCCTTTCTCCTTTTGCTCTGCTTGGCAGAAGCCTATAACGCTCCTTGCACGCTACTTTCCAAATTATCTTTGTACAATAGCATTCTCGTATCGCTGCAATATACGGTGCTTGACATCCATTCTATCTAATCTAAAATGAGATTGAATACAGCATGGGGATGGGACTATTGCAGGATCGCCCATCGGCCTAATTAAGGACGTCATCGGAGATCATCGGCTTTAGAAAACTGGTCGATCACAACGATGATCGAGTCACCGAGCAGCTCACTCTCCTTCTCTCTCATCGTTCATCTCGACGTAGACCCATGAGTACGAATTGATCAATCCCCATCGTCTGCGATCTGAATTCCCTCCCCATAGACGCCGACTCTCTCCAAGGCCGGCTCCTCTTCGCCATCCCCAAGAAAGGTGCGGCCGCCCCGCCGCGCACGTTCGAGGCCCTGTTCTGACTGTAGCGGAGGGAGACTGCACGAGAAGTGTCTGAGTCTGCTTTCCGGTGCGTCGCTTCCCTGCGATGGCGAGGCAGGCAGGCTCGCGGACTGACCGTGCACAGGCGCCGACATACAATTCCGGCGGCACAATAGATTAGATGTCGCACTGGTCCAGAACCACCCGATCGCGCTGTACGTCCCACCCGCGGATCCACCTCCATCCTCCCTGTCTCGATAGTCTCGTTTACCTCCATCACAGCGTGTTCCTGCCCGCGTCCGACATCCCGTCCTTCGTCGGCAAGGGCAATGTCGATATTGGGATCACCGGGCACGACGTGATTCTCGAGGCGCAGATGCAGGACCACGTCACAGAGGAGCTGCGCCTGGGTTTCGGGAAATGCGCGCTGCAGGTGCAGGTCCCCGAGTCGAGCCCGTACAAAACGGCCGACGATCTGGCCGGCAAGCGTGTCGTGACGAGCTTCGAGGTACTCGCGGGGTCGTATTTCGACAAGCTGGACGAAAAAGCGAATCTCTCGGGAGATCAAAAGACACAGATCGAGTACGTCGGCGGAAGCGTCGAGGCTGCGTGTGCATTAGGATTGGCAGATGGAATCGGTGAGATTTCATCTCTGGCTTTCTCTGTTCAGGATTGCTGACATATTCATACAGTCGATCTCGTCGGTGCGCATTATTTTGAAACTGTTTTCTAGGGCTGATGCGTATTCATGAATTGCGCAGAATCGGGGGATACGATGCGCGCGGCGGGTCTGCACGCAATCGCGACGCTGCTCCAAAGCGAAGCCGTCCTCATCAAGTCGACGGTGCAGAAACACCCCGACTTTGCGCCGCTCATCCAGCTCGTGACGCGCAGAATAGCGGGAGTCATCGCCGCTGGAAAATACGTTATCTGCCAGTACAATATTCCGCGCGACAAACTTCCTGCGGCGGCGGGCATCACGCCGGGCCGGCGGGCTCCGACAGTGAGCTCGATCGAGGAGGAGAACTGGGTCGCCGTCAGCGTGATGGTGGAGAAGAAGCAGGTCGCCAATGTGATGGACGAGTTAGAGAAAATCGGGGCGGAAGATATCTTGACTTTCAGCCTGGACAATTGCAGAGTCTGAATATAGATCCTGATTCAGATGATAGCTGCAAAGGTTGCCAGTGTCCGGGCAAAAACGAATACTGTCTGAGCTTGTTGAACACATGTTGCCTTATTCGAAAAAGGCTTTTGTTTTTCATCCCCGCGCACGGCTGAAAAGGTCGAGGCACCGGAAAACGTTCGGAGGCCTTGACCAGGTTGAATTCTCCCGGCGCTATAAGTCAACCAGACACTCGGATTTCTCAACTGTCAAAAAAGAGCCCTATCAAACCGGATTCATGACTGCTACTAAAGAGTTTTTGTCCTCAAGCAGAGTGACCGCTTCTCCATCCTACCTACAAGATGAAATCACTGACTGTTGCCTTCTTTGCGCTGCCGTGGCTCTCGTTCTCCACAGCTCAACTGCCTCCTGCTAATGTTTGGATCAAGCCAGGTCCCAGAGACGCTCGCTCGCCGTGCCCTGCACTCAACACACTTGCAAACCACGGATACCTCCCCCGCCACGGACGGGACATCACTATCCCCATGATCGTGGAGGCTTCGATGGGTCAGTGCGCGCCGAACTGTGTCGGAATGTAGCGCATTTTTTGAGGTGCCCCATTTCAGCTGGATTCAACATGGCTGCCGATGCGGTGACTGTGGCGGCCAAGTTCGGTTTGTTCTCGGGTGACTCGCCGACGAGTATGGATCTGGATGCTCTGGGACTGTGCGTGCCTGATTTTAGCGCAGATCTGACTTTCAACCTCGTGCCACAGCCACAACCTCATCGAGCACGACGCCTCTCTCTCTCGGCAAGACTCGGCGCTCGGCGACAACACCGTCTTCAACGAGCGGATATTCGCGACACTGGCCGAGTCGAATCCGGGTGTGCATTTTTACAACACGACGTCCGCCGGCCTGGTCATGAACGAGCGGCTGCGGATGTCCGTCGCGGCAAACCCGAACATCACAAACACGCCGAAGGAGCTGGGGCTCCGGACCCGCGAGTCCACCTTCTATCTGTCCGTGATGGGCGATCCACTCACGGGAGTGGCTCCCAAAAAGTGACTGTGTTTCGTCCCGTTCGCCGACGAACACGAACGCTCATCATTCTGTCGTTGTGTTGTAGGTTCGTCCAGATATTCTTCAGGGAGGAGCGCTTGCCGGTCGCAGAGGGCTGGAAGAAGTCCAATGTAACGATCACCGCGGGCACATTGAATCAGCTCGCCGCGCAAGTTCTGAAGGTGTCGACCTGGACCCCGACTCAACAGTGCGAGGATATAGTCGTCGGACCCGGGCAAGTCCTGTAATCCGGATTGGACCGCGAATTGGAATGTACCTGTAAAATCAATAGATATTAACATTGGGTATGAATTTCGGATCATACCTGCACTGAAAGTTCCTACCGCGCAACACATGGACACGTAATTCTTTGAGGAGCGCTGGGAAGAGTCAACCGACCGACTCCCACGAAGATTTGATGGACGCATCCAAGCCCAGGCTTGAGTCTCAGCACCGAAAAACGCGCAAGCTTCTTAGCTTGAGCTGGAGCACTGGCTCACAACGCCGCTCGGGTCCAGAATGCTCTTCTTACGCCGGGTGCATCGTAGCTTCCTCGACGGGCGTCCAGCATACGTGGGCGGCGGCACCAAGTCTGACGCCCGTTTTGAATACCACGGCATCATCGGAACCGGGTAGTAGTATCCCAGTGTTCCCCGGAACCGGTTCTCCTTTCGCTCATGCTCCAGAGCCCGAAGGAGACTGTTCAGTTCCGTGGCTGATTACACGGTCCACAGCCCAGAGACGGAGGAGCTTATCCGATCTGCCATAGGAATGGAGATAGATGCAAGAAATATACGCCGTCTGTCTGTCATCGACCGCGGTGCTGCCGTGTCCCGCTTCTTCCTCTCTGCAACGGACTCATCTGTAGCGGCCTCGAGCATGATTTCTTTCGCTTGCACAGTACATTAAATAGCGCACGGTGACAACGCAGAGTACGGCGGGTGACCTAACGAGTGGGAAATGTTGAAGCTCAGTGAGGGGATGAGTCGGAAGACGATGCATTGCAAGATTGAAACGGATTCATGGCGAACAGCAGATGTAAGAGAAAACGAGAGGTTTCAAATTAAGCCAAAGGGAGAAGTAAAAGGAGAACGATTTTCGGAAAACGCATACAAAGTCGAGCTGGTCGAGAGCAGAGCAGCGGCAAACACGTGTGGCAGTGCAGGAGTGATGATCATGATCGAGCCGGGGAGACTCACCATCACGTCTCTTTTGTGATAGTGTGAGAGTGATAGTGGCTATCCACCGTCACTTGTTCTCTCCTTACGAGCATCTCGAACATCGCGGAATCCGCAAATAGCACCGACAAGGAGTTTCACTGACAGTGCAGAAATCCGATCTCTCCGAAGCTCCGTCAGGTGTCCCATATGGACTTCCTGGGGGCGGGTCTCCAAGAACTCGACGATACCGTTCAACAACGAGAGGAGATCTTGAAGGGATCTCAGAATCGACAAGCAGACACGCTATCTCAGATCAACGCGATCTCGCGCTCGGATCCTCTCACGCGTTTTCCGCCCGAGATCGGGTCTAAAATTCTAGAGCATTTCGTCCCACAACGAGACGATCACCGGTACTGGCAAATACCACCGAACTACTACGATGATCACTTCAATATGAAAGAGGGCGAGAGTGAGGCCGACGCTTGGAAGCGTATTCGACTTCAGCGCGCGTACGAGGACTTCCCCCCGCTGCCCATCATACTCGTGTCGCGCACATGGTCGCGCGTCGCCCACGCGTCACCGGCTCTGTGGGAGACGCTCTATTTGCGCTGGCGCCGCGTGAGACCGTCTGCGGCGATGGATTTCTACGTGCGGCACGCGCCCCAGCACGTCCGCTTCGCTGTGATCCTCGTCGGTGACATGGGCCCGGACATGTGGCAGGATCCTAACTTCCCGTCGTGGCTGAATGGAACGCACCACAAGTTCAGGCTCTACCGCGACCGGTTCCGGGGTTTCGCGATGAGAGGGGATATGTATACCGAGGGACAACACCTCTGCAGCATCATCACCGGTTTTACGAAGCTTGAAGATCTCGAGCTGCTCGTCAATGCCACTCCTTTCTGTTCTAGAATGGCGTGGAAGCACGCCGACTGCCTTGGGTTTCTACAACAGCACGCGCCCTCGTTGCAGTCTCTGAAGATGACTATGGCCGTCGCGGGCCCGCTCTCAATCGACCACCCAGCGGTGACTTTCCCCCGAGTGCGAACTTTCCATATGTGCGTGAGGGGCTCTGAAGACAAGGAATCTGCCATCCTTCCGTGCTTGCGCATGCCTGCTTTAGAGCGAATCGTGCTCGAGCGCATGCCATGGTACATGCCCTCGTTATTCACGTTCCTCAGCCAACACGCATCCACGCTCCGCTCGCTCACCGTCACGTGCGACTGGCTGTATCTCGTCGACATCCTTCCCCTCTTGCCGTCCTTGACGGAGCTGTCTCTTACGAGCCTGTATGGCGATGAGCGTGGGTTTGACGATGACGATGAGCGTTACCTAGATGCCGACTTGGATGTTCTTCGCCCCTTCGTTCCCGCGCTTCGGCATTTCTCATTCCAGAGCGAAGTGGCCATGTCAGACCTGGCTTTGCTCCGCTTTCTGATACCCAGGATTGGCACCCTACGAACGGTGAAGTTGACTGGATATGCACAGTCGCTGCACCCAGACACATTGAAAGTGCTGGAGCTATACGCAGCGATGGGGATGGCGATTTCTCTCCCCCTGGCTCGAACTTGGGATGGCGTCACCGGCTCTTGGGAGTCTTGTTTTGAGTCTTGGAGTAATTCTATATGGTCGGAGAGTGTCAAGTACGATGAATAATTGATCTCAGTTGCTTCACAAATATAAGAGCTCAACATCCATTGCTCACTTGATATTCTCATCTCACGCTGTAGGTACGGGTCGATCATAGCTGAATATATTGATGGAATGAATATGGTTAGGGTTAGCGCAATTCAAATCCAAAAAAAAGGCCCGCCTAGCCGAGTGGCTGTGGCGGAACAGGAAATATTGAGACGGGGCATGAGCCGAAGCCCATACAAACCGCAGGCTCACTCTGAATGGACAGGGTCGCCGTGCTATGGAGTGTTTCCCACGGCCAAAAGCCCAGGTCCGTGAAGG